TTGAGGATTCTGCTCAACCTTTTGCAACTCTTCCATCAAATTCTTTGTTTCATTTGAAGCCTCCAAAATTTTGATAGTTGTATCTCTGCAAAGAATAAGTGAGCAAATTCATCATATTGCAAGCACAAACAATTTGCAAGACATCTTGTAGAACTCGGGTGGAACTATGAAGCGATGCCCTATTGTTGAGGAGAGAATCTCTCTAGGTACAGGATCTTTAGAAGACACATTGCTCTCTCGCTTCTTAAGTGGAACAGTAACGTTTGAGGCAAGCTGTGGGTCAGCAGTGGCTGGGACTGCTGAAAGACAAGATCATATAATATGGTATCATAGGAAGTATTACCGAAAGCAGCAGGACTAGAAACAGTTGTTTTACCACTGGCGCTACTAACACCGCTTAGGATAGAGCCCGTAGCTACAGGTTGAGAGGAAGTGCTTTGTCGAGTAATAGTGGAACAAGAGGAGAAAGAAGAAACAGCTTAAATATGCATTTGTATGAGTTAAAAGATTTCTTCAAAGTACCAGAGTTTTCGGAGAGACTAGACATTGCTGACACACCAGAAGCTCGTGAGATTACGGAATGCTGAGATTGTGTGGAATCTTTTTTAGCTGCAATGTAATAAAAGTATTCTTGAATGAAGAATGGTTTGAAACATACAATTAATTTCTGAAGAAATAGCGGAAAGGGGAGTTTGAGGTGGCATGAGTTCTGGTTTATAACCGTCTGGATGTGGCTTAAGTCTTGCGACTCCTACACTGGCAGCTTGCATTGGGGAACGACGAACATATAAGACACAAGGATTGCCTGAAACAGAAGTTGAAATTTATATTGCATAGAATAATAAACCATTAGATAACGCAGTGATATGCGAGGCTTCGTGTAAAGATAGAAGGGTGTCTCCATTCACCAGGAAGTGTTGGAACCTAGTTGTATCGATAGCTGACGGTCCATACAAGTAAAGTAATCGCCGTTCATCACATAAAGCCCATCGACAACCACGTCCCTACAAAGTAAGACCAGATTATTGAATGAAATAGATCATTGAACATACAACGTTGCAGAACAGAGAATACATAAGATATTCGGCGGCTTCTAAAACACGCTTGCTTGCTGCTTTCTTCTCTTCGGGATTTGTACCCTGAAAAAGAAAACGTCCAAATATATCATTAACATGAATATTATACATCATGCTTCTTTGAGCCAGTGACTCCAAGCTGAACTGCTTCAGCAACGGTGTTCAAAACTCCTTCGCATTCAGCCAGCATAGGTGCAGCACATAACCAAACGGATATTGAATTATAAGCTGCGACAACCTATAAGAAAACATATGAAGAGACTTTCTTAAGGAAATCTTTATGGATAGTGTTTTCATGTCAAAGGTGTCCAACTTACAGTTGAATGAAGATCCTTGGAATGTAATGGTGGGGGCTTCATTAATTGAGTTTCAATGAAACGGCACAACGAAGCAACGATTAAGAACCCAGTAGACACATCCCCTGGAAAATACGTTTCGAATTTCCCTCGAATATTTCACATACTATTGTTGAACAAAACAGTTGGATGAACATGAGAAAGGGCATTGAGAAGGTCAATTGCAGCCAGTGATACAGAATGTTCTCCTGCCCATTCTGGCCGGCATATACGATCACATACTGCTGAGACTAACCCTCGCACAAATGAGACACATAAGCCTTAATGAAAAACATGGTTTGTGATGCGAATCAAAGATACAAACCTTTCTCTGGTTGTGAACCATTTTTGGACATAGTTATACGCATCATCTCACGAGTTTGCTCTTCTGTTAATCCCAGATCAAAGTTGCAACTCTCTTCGATTAGTACAGTACACATAGCTAAGACAGAAAAAATAAGAAATAGAAAGAAACCAAAACATGATACCTAATGTCATTTGTAGGTTTTGAGGATCGTTCTCATTCCTCAAACTGAATACAAGAGTCTTATAGATACGCGAACGCAAATGTAAATATGTTGCAGCACTGGATTTCAAAGTGGCAGATTCCGGAAGTTCTTAAATGGAATGAAACTAGTCACAATTGCAAACTTTGAGAACTCACGAGGAATTTTGCTCATTCCAAATGTAGTAGGCCAACATATCACAGAAGAGAGAGCCTTTAAGCAGCACTTGCGCATTTCTACTTCAGGTATGGAAGGATGTAATCTGGATATGAAGACTGCGAGAGGTTTGGCTGAATAAAAATTACCGGAGTTTAGAACTTTCAATTAGTATTATGTCGAGAGCGAATAAGAAGTGTGGTAAAATAGCTTCTATAGCAGGGAGTCCCAATCGGAAGAGAGAATGCCCGTAATAGAAAAATGAGCACAATACAATCCTATCTTTCTATAAAGAGTTCAACTAGGCTTCAGGCAAATGAAACAGAACGGCAAACCTCTATTAAAGCTTGATATAAAGTTGCCATATAGCCGGACAGCTGAGAGTTGGGAAGTTTCTCTAAGGTGGATTTAGAACAAACTATCCGTGTTAGTGCTGCTATAGCAGCAGCCCTGCCTGCAGAGACGCCTGGAAAAGTTGGTTGAGTTTGATGAAAACAAAGAAGGACCAACCATCTACAGCAAGCTGGTCGCTTGGAGTAGCAACTTCTGATGCTGATGTAGCATCTCCAGCCACAGAAGAGGAAGAACTACCTGGAAAACATTAATGAATGTGAAAATATGTCAAGATATCAAGTTACCGAAGCTTCTACGTTTCTGGTCATAAGCTCGTTCACCGACAACACTATTCATTGCATCAGGTACGTCGTCTAGGTCTACTGAATGGAGCGACAAACCCGAAATCACATCTGTAATTATTGGACTGATAGATATAATTAATAACCATTTAATATAAGGAAAATGGGACAGTCCATTAGACACATGGACAGACACACACAGGGGACAAGTAAACTGACAAAACAAACGCAAATTGATAGAATGAGGTATGATTACTTACAAATGTCAGAATTTTGTATTATACCAACGGGGGAGAAGCCCCAAATCTCCCCAAGCTTAGGACTTAACGCAGATAGAATAGCTGAGCATGATACAGAGGATTCTGATGGTCGTGGCATATCATATTCGTACAAAGGAAAGCCGAGTTTATATTGAGTTTAAAGCGTATTCAAAAATATCAGATGAAAGGCCAGTTGAAACGCTGACCATATATGTGTATGTATGTATGTACGTATATGGATGAAACAGAGTAGCAAGAGAAAGATGGGCTGGGTGGCGATTAAACACGCCGCAACCGGTTATAGATGTGAATGACTAGCAAGAACACATGATTATTTGTGGCCAAAAAAGTTCGCAAGAAAAATAAAACAATTATTAGTATCATAGGAGAACGTCAAGAAGTTATCGATATGTTTTTGAGAGAGAGAGAATCGTATTTGATTTGGAGGAATAAAGCTTCGTAGCAATGTTAGATAAACAGGCATTTCTTTGATAAGCCATATACCGGCCACCTATGATTGTTCTGGTGAAAGGGCATCTCACTTCGAAGCATTCAATGCCCTCTTCAGACATGGAACACAACCGATTTCACTCAAAATTACAAATTAAATTGTACAGAAAGAACACTACAGTCACTAATCAATGCTCAATGATTGTCCAAAGGATCTATAAGAGGAAGGAAGGTTAAAGTGACAATAGACAAACAACAGGCGGCGACAAATACGAAATGTCTTAGTTGCTCTTGTGTAGAAGTGAATCTATCAAGATAACTTCATTGAAGGATTTTGGAAGCTTTCGTTTATTCCAACGTTACTTCGTGAGCATGGCTCTAGTTACATGACAAAGCCTGGGAACGAAAGAACATCACAAGAAATGTTGAAAAGCAAATAAAAGACAACCGAAATCTTAGTAACTGACATTGTTTGAGGAAGAGCAAAGTGAATCAGGTGTTGCAAGTCAATCAATATGAGGTAAGTGACCATGAATATATATATTACCATTTCGGATGAGGACAGGTTAATCTCAATCTATGATCGTTAGGGGAAGTCTGAAAGACAGAACAGACAACGTTTGAGCTTATTGTCAGTGACAATCCCTGCCTGTCAATAGAACAGCCTTCCTTTTCCAAATATGAATTTGGAGCTTTCATCGAGGTTTGAGAGTGAGGCATATCTACGACCTTTGGAAATAAATCTACTGTCATATGAAAAGATAACATAGACGCGCGATTGAGAGAGAAACGAAGAGGAAAAAAGAGGTGAAAGGACGGTATGCGAACTCTTTATCTTTTCCTCTCTTCTTCTATATTAGGAGGGGACAGCAGAGAGAGCGATGGAGAGAGAGAGAAAAAGAAATAAAGAGAGAGAGAAAGGGATGATTGTTAGTCAAGCTTAATGAAATAAATATATCGAAAGAATCGAATGAACGGGGAATCTGCCACGTAAAGAGAAAGGCTGAGTAAACATGGTTGAAAGCTGAATAACTGTCAATATGGTTTACCTGTATCACCGGTCTTTAAAATTCAAAAAATGAGGAAAACAATGTTTGAGAGCGATAAAAGGTAACTGGAGTAGTAGAGAATTAGTTAGGGCGATTTAAATTGAGAATATATTGCTTTTGTGGCCTAATATGGAGTAAAGAAGAGGAATAGTTGAGGACTTCAAACAATGGGACGTGCGTATAAAGGTCGCGCGAAACTCGATTCTTGATACTTTTCCAATATGAAAGAAGATGGCCAATGTGCTCATTCGAGGAAGAGAGGAGGGTTGACTGATAGAACATTCACGGAATGGATTATGCAAATGAAAACAGTGTGACGAAGGAATGAGTGGAGCGCAGGACTAAACTGAAGGATAGCGTTGAACGCCTAGAAACTTGTTTGATATAAAAAGTTTGTCGGGCAAAAAATATAGAGGCAAAAGTAAGAACCATCAAGAGAATCAGCAAAAGGCTGTTGATGCACCCAATCCTATTAGGAAAACAAAGTGAAGAACAGGAAAAAAGATAACATCAGTATGTTATTTACACAAGTGTTATAACATACCGTCTATCACATCTCCACCACCAGTTCGATCCTTATCCTGACGTCCAGCAGTACTAGCTTCCAGTAACCAATTCATTGTTAGATTTAATAATCGTTCACTTTTAGGACCACGCTCACCAATGAAAGCCGGATATAAAGGATTTGCTGGAGAGACTGTGTTTTATGATATTATAGAGTACTAATACCGCTTAGCGCATGACCAACGAAATGAGAAGCACCAGGACGACTTTGGGCACACGAAGCCAAACTCGCTTTCCCATTAACGTCAAAGCGAGTACTGACACTCTCACCAGCTTTACTGCTCACTTGAGAGCCAGATGCCATCTATAAACCAATGTGTCACTAATTTATTTCGTAATCTTACCTGCAAGGGCGGTAGAGAAGTTGCATGCTGACTAAGCGAAGGTTCCAGTCTGCTATACTGAGGCTGAACTGTTTGCGAGGCACTTTCATTTTTACCACTTCGATCTTGAATAACAAAAAAAGTTCGATAAAAGTGAATACTTGATTATTCATACCTGAATGTCTCTTCTGTGCTTTTCTGCTCATTTCGGAAGATAGCCGCGCATCTCTCCCACTAACTGAAGAAGAGCAAGAACCTCTACGTTCACCAGTTAACGTTGACTCGGTGCATTGGGTATCCTTTGTGTGGTCGGTATGAACACTTGCAGCTTCTCGCTGAACAAAAGTTGTAAAAAAAGAGGAAAAGCCATATGTCAACCTCGCTCTTATGACGATAACTTGTTGTTTCTTCACTTCCCACTGATGATAATGTCCATTTTCTGATAAGAACATCAGACTCTTTAAATTCTATAGGAACGCGATTGTCTCCTGAAAACTGAGAACGTTACACGAGCATTATTCATCATCAACTCGCCATAGAACACGTCGATCATTCTTTGAATAGCAGTTGTGGCTAGGAAGAAGCATAAAGGGAGAGACGGGATTGCCGAATCGTTTGGATTGACTGTTATCTGCTCGCCATTGTCTTCAAAAGAAACAATGTAGAATGTCGTTCATGCAACTTCTTTTTTTTTCAAAAATTAATTTCAGTGCTCGACTGATGTGCTGACTAGTTCAGCCTCGTTTTTTTCCAATTAATTTGTTGAACAGGAACGAATGAGAGAACAAATTACTCATAACTTACGAATGGGTTTGTTTTGCCAGGGATCGTGCTTCAAAATTGTTGCAGGGCTCCCAATCAAGCAGAGCAAATTGAACCAGCTTTGATATAAGAGATCAATTTCTCCTTCATCACTAGCAGGTAGAAGACCGAATGGAATTATACTATCGTCATCTAAAATGAGTATTCGTATACACCTCCATATAAAGATAATCTTACGGATCAAAACTCGACTATACTCATCACCATACATTTTTCTGCAAACTAAGACGGTCATGGAGAGAAGTTTCCTTGCCCATGATTCTATCACAGTCACCTATACAAGATAATGATTGAGTAAAAAGCTATCAACAACGAACATGATGCCTCCATCTGCGGCAAAGCACAGAGAGTGTTCTCCAATATGTGGGTGAGGGTATTTCTTCGTTCAACACTGCACGGAACCAAAGCTCAAAGAGAGTATCAACAACCCGAGAACCAACACGTATCCCCATTTCTTCTTAAGTGATAACAGTGAAAAAAATAGAGAAAATATCGGAATACCTGAAGATGAAGGGTCTGCTAAAAGTAAGTCTGCTGAGTTCAAAAGGAAACTCAAAGACCTAGCCCACACTTCGTTTTGATACTTCCGGCTAGCTGATTGAGTCAAAGCTTTCACGGTGTCCAAAATGATTTCTATTTCCGTTGCTTGTCTCTCTATAGCCAGACCCCGTGGAACATTTGATAGTTCTCCCTTGAATATAAGTATATTACTACCGATTTGTTTTGGATCAAACCTCTCTACGTTCATGATCGGTAATTGCTAAATCATCTCTTCTACAGAAGACGCATCTCAATGCTTCGATGATGGTTCTTAAAGATAGAGATTAAAAGCGAAACAACCCTTGTCTTACCGAAAATACTTTTCAGGAGTCTCCAGAAGAGGTGTTGGTATAGTTCCATCAGGTAAATCGGTTAAAGCTCGAAGCCAGTGAAGATAGATCTTGACTGCACCACGGATGGTGTTGTACTCTCTGTTCGACATGAACGAGAAAGTTAAGGAGTGGTTGAGAACCTATTGAATGATTGAGTTATCATAAATGCCCTGTTCACTCACCTGCATAGACCATCTTAACTGATCCTCTGAGTTCAACCGAATGGAAGGTACATCTTCTGTTTCTTCTCTAGTCAGCTCGTATAACAGGAAAGACGCTACGGATTCACTAGTATTTCTGGAAAGAATATGACTGTTTCGCTTGAGAAGTAATGTATTACTTAGTAAAAAGCCCCAAGATACTAGCACCAATATCAGGAAATTCCAGAATGGGCCATTCCTCATACATGATTACATGCAAGTGAATAAGCACAAGCTGCTATTGGAATGTTGCAGCTTCGTTCAATCTTTAACAATCAGAATGCTTGAGTAAAACAAAGAAACGTTATGAGAACGAAAAATCAGTCAATCAATTGAAGAAATGCTCAGAAAAATGAACTTAAATGTTTTTCGCAGATAGTAGTAGCATCCCGCCGAGACACGTAATGGATGTACCCACTACTTGCTTCACACAGTATCAAAATAGGAAATAGAGAGGGAGAGAGAGATGAAGAAAGAAAGAGAGAGACGGAGAGTTTGTGATAATACATCTTAAAAGTAGGTAAGGTATAAAACAGTACAAATACTGTTTATGGCAAAGTAAGAACATCAGCAACTTTTTATATACGTAAAATAACAAATGGCCATTCCAACTGGCATCTTCTACGAGCAATGTTATGTATGATGACTAACAATCGACGCCACAAATGTTATTATGAGCATTAACAATGTTGATTAAATTTTAGAATATACGAAACGTTATAAATATCATAGGAAGAAACAGGAAGACAAGAACAACATAATGCCTTCACAATTGTCAAGAGAACAACGACCTTGACAACATAATCAGCTATGTTATCCCCCCCTACTTCGCTTGTGAAATCTTCGGTCACAGATTTTTTGATAAGGTGGACAACATGCGTACAACATAACTGACCAGATAATTTTACATAAGCAAGACGTATTTTGTCTGAAATATCTTCAAAGTGTCGGCCAATACATGCATGAAACGTACATCAGTTTGTGAATGTTGATCGTTGGAATCGAGGTTACTCGCTGTATCTGACAGCACAAGGTTCCCGTTTTAATCGTCAAAGTATCTTTCATTGAATGATGTGGAGACGCGTCAACTTCTTGAACATGCGTGACTTTATATATGAAGTATAAAGAGAACCTCTGTTTGTTTCCTTAACATAGCTGCTCATCCGCACAGCAGTCAACGATCTTGCAGAGAGCGTTCATTTCAAGTAAGCCATACAAGTGACGCCTATGTATAATATAAAAGTAGTTTCTGAAAAAGTTTTCAAGTTACTTTCTGTCTGGACGTTCTGTGCCATCAAGATTACAACCTTCGGACAGGCGATTACGCATAGAAGCTATATTGAGAAGGTTCGGAGAAACAGTTTTCCTTACAAGATGAATGCTGTTACATTGACAGCAGACAATGATGAAAGAATAATTCTCGCATGCCTTATTCATCTTCGCGCAAATCGAAAGTATGAGCAAGAATGTCAGAAAAGAACTTATGAGGTTTAAAAACTTTCATTTTGTATTCTCGTCACGAACTAATGTTTGGGCCTAATATTAGATTGATCTGGAAGACTTATTTCTTCGTAAACTTCGGTAGGCTCAATAGCTTCATCTGCATCTACGACGGCGTATTCCTGTCCATCGATTATTACTGTACACTCTCCCATCATCTGAAAAAACATATTTATGACAATCCTTGTTCCTAGTCAGATTCACTTCATTGTTCGGTAACATTGAATAGGATGTACTTGGAACAACATCTTCTTCCATAGGAAGTGAAGGTTCCAACATTGGTTTAATGTCATATTGAGACCATTGACATCTAAAACAATAATAAGGAATCTGCATATGGACCAGATACTACACCTTGTATTGGGGTCGAGAGTGAAAACTCTATCTTTTGTGGTTATCATGGGACGAGGCCTCACTATTTGGAAGCTGAATCGAATAACTTAGAGCATTAAATGATAAGAGCGAAATACTTTCGTGAGGAACTTTCCATACTTAGTTGAGGCCATTTTGTACGAGGAGGTTGACGAGTTCCGACAGGGAAGACCAATCTAAAAGTTATTGAGTAAGGCAAAACTATATATCAGAACAATGAGATCAGAAGTTGGCAAGAGGGTCTTTGCCCACATCTTGCTCGTCTTGGTCAAACAACGCTAAGTAAACATGGTCACAACATAAAAAGAACAGCTCAATTTGAACTAGAAAGCATGTTGGAGAAATTTACACACCGTACCTTCTCTGGCGGTTTTCATTGATTCCAATAACTCTACTTATCAACCTTGTTTTCTTAAAATGAGGTTTAGAGGCATCAGAGATTCCTTGAAACCGAGTATGATATTATTGAGCTCAATGTTTGTTAAAACTGACTTTCGCCTGAAGTGCCCAATTTCGCAGCACTAGTGGAAGGTTTATCATCAATATCTTCGACATTTACTAGATTCGGCTTGGACTCACTATCGGCATCATGAAGCTCTTTACTGAAGAGGAACTGTTCGATGATAACGAGAACTTCTTACTATTTCATGACATCTTCTACCATTACGGAATCATCCGGAGATTGGCTATCTCCATCCAATCTTTTCAAGAAAGTATGATAATGATTCCGAACTCCCTCGAGAACTAGCGAAATCATGGCTTTTCTATTATCGAATACTCGGGTAGAATCTAAAGAACTATGAGATCACTGATTCACTGCACAGTATACCGGGTTCAGTTAATCCTGCAATATTGCCACATAGCAAAGACCCATATTTTACATCTTTTGGCCAATACTCAGGTTTCGGGCGGGGAGAACATCCCTGTAGGATTGGGAATTGAAACAAATGAAAATCAATGTGTTCATGCGTCATTCTCATTTTTGCATTACAGGCGCGAAAACGGTCAATCATTTTCAACAAAAAAGAAGCAGAGAGCGGTTGTACTCAGTTTGCTCGGCATGCAAAGCAGAAAGACTTACTCGTCTTCCTTTGGACTTGTAGCTGAAATGTTCACGAGCAGGATAGTTGTAAATATCCAAAATCCTTAAAATCTGAAAGTAATCTAATAGAGCTCAGTGGCGGTTTATTGATAATCACTTTAGAATACAACTGGCTCTCTGATTGCATATATTCATTGGCTTCTTGATTCGTATTAACTAATGGCATATAGAACGGGGTCTGAGAAAAACTGTTCATGTTTTGAAAAGAAGTTTAAACCTACTTTATCTACGGAGGGCAAGCATGTTTTTAACTTATCACAGAAATTTGAATTATAAAGAGCTTTAACAATTGGTCGAGATCCATAAAAGGAGACGTGCTTGCTTGTATCCTGTGTAACATGAGTCAGCACTACAACAAGGAGTCAACTCACGGGATTAACAATAGTAAGCACGAAGTTTTCTTCGAACAGTTCGTTCATCTCGTCAACTATTCGTCGTAGCCTCATTATACTTCGCACCTGACGAAGATATTAAATAACTAATGATTGGAGAGTAACCTTTTCTCCATTCGGGATTTTTCGTTCTTGTCCTACATTTGTCATCGCACAACTGACTTGCATCTAATGATCGTTTCGTATAACCCGAGTATCATGATTATGAGCTTACCAAATCTCCTTCGTCAGCAGTATCGGATGAGGTAGAGGGGAACCCTTGCATTTCTACTATCAATTCTAAGAGACACACACACGTAAACGAAATTGAATAGACTAACTGTAATAATCGCAGACTACGACGACAAACCACACATTAACAGAATCTTATCAAAATTTTAATTAGTATCATAGAATATACAAAAGATATAAGAGATGAATAACATGATGTGAACGCATCGTTCTTAAGACATTTTGCGAATTTTTGTATTTGAGACCTAAATTACCAGCTTTTAATCCTAGTTATGCACCAAAAATGTTGTTAACATAGAGAAGTAGCGAAGATCTACATGAATCGAATGATTAATATGAGAATCAATAGAAGAACCGTAAAACTAGTAGTAATTAATAGCAATTTCTGAAAACCAGTGTGCATACCACATTATGACATCTTCATCCAAGTATATGTCGTTTCAAATTTAAAGATTCAAAAATATAACAAGCTTATCGTCGCTTCACTCTCTTATTATCGAACAACTCTTTGATGTTATCATCGAAGAAGCCATCCAATTGAACAGCGCACTGAAATAATAAAAATAATAGGCGGAACTGAAGGTGATAATGATACTTCAAATATTTCACTGCCTTCTTCGTTGTACAGTTTACAGTTGCTTATAAGTAATGATAAGTCTTCGCGTACGTCTTCTGGGGAATCATAACAACGATTTTTAATTTTGTTCATCATAGTTCTCAGATCAATAGGTTTCCGAATGATATCATAGTAATCAGGAACCTAAAGAGGACAGTTGCTAAAAACCATTCAAGTTGAGCAACTCACTTCTTTAGCATTCACAGGTTCTAAGAAAGGCCAAGCATAGTCTTGCTTCATGGCCGCCCTAATGGTTTGTTCTAATCTCACCATCTTTTCTTTGGAATTTGAATCTTGCTCTCTCAAGCCGGTCGACAATGTTCTGAAGGAAGCATCTCGAATTGGTTCTTCTGAAGCGAGTTGAAGATTAGTATGCATGATCAGTCTGATAAGTGACCTCTCTTTCGCTTGCTATTTCTGCTCAGTCCTGACTCATCCTCTTCTTCATCGATACTATCATAAGACATATTTGACTTGGACTGTCTGCGTGAATTGAAAGGAGGAGTGCTATGGGGCAAATAATTTTCTTTATATGTCACTCGTTTGACTGTACGACCACTGCTTGTTCTAGTGATGTCAATTGCTTCTCCGCTTAAGAAGAAAAAACATTAGGTAAATAATAAAAGGAACGACTCCTACTCATTCTCCCAGTCTTCATTTCCATCCTCACTACCATTCCTCTGACTCGATGCAAGAATAGCAGCTTCTCTAGTAGCTTTACGTTTTTCCACAGCTAACTTCTTCTTCCGAGTTGTAGTACAATCAAAGCAAGTCCATGCTTTTGGAATAGGAGCAGCAGCAGAAAGTTTAACACACACAGGATGGAAGCACTTATTGCAATCCACACATAGTACTAAATTCTCAGCATCAGCCTTCTTTCTACATGTTGCACATTTGCCCTGAACAATGTCATTGAATTAGAACGTTTGCACAGATTATGAATTACCTGTAAACGACTCTTGTCCCATAAAATCGCAGGTTCAATAGTGGAAAGGAATAAGAACAATGCAGATACAGACTCGCATTGTAACAATCCTTTTTGCCAATTAACAAAACATTTGGAAGCATTAACAGTACCAGCTAAACATTACTTTTAGCACCCATGAGCAGGAGAATTAAGACTTACGTTCACTCTGGGATGGGTTAGTGAAGGGAGCGCGGAAATATTTCATGTCGACGCCTTGAATTAGTTGTAAGAACGCTAATGCCAGACTAAGAAACGAAAATAATAATCATTCAAACATAATGGGATACCTTCTGACTATCGTGTTCTTCTCTTCATTCTCTGTATCAGACAGAGAATAGATGAGTTCATCTCGCAAGTACATATCTTCCTTTATGGTATCAGCGATATCCCCAGTTTCTTCAAGTTGCTTTCTCCAAGCTTCGCGATCAATATCAGAGGGAAGTTCTCCGACCAATCCGCGGTTTAACTATAAACTTCTGATAAGAATTTGAGATGGTTGGAGAAAAAACCTTGTCTTCCAAATCCAACAATATTTCCTTCATCTCCTCTTCAAAAACAATAGCACTCTTATAAGTAGCTGGGTCTCCTGCTGTCGTTAAAGTGTTCAAGCAATAGGCATCCATATTTATTCTGTTGTTCTTGAATAGGTTTTCCGTTTATGGGCTGTTTTCAAAAAGCTTTCTTACCAATCTATTTAAGACTTCTATGATACGAGGACGGAAGTAGGTGAGTTCTTCGGTCAGTTCGCACTCACGGAATCCACGAGGATTGCAGACACCAATGACCTACAAACACTTTTGGTTTTGAAAACTGAAAATCATGGGCTTTCACCTCATCGAGCATCTCGATAGTCGTTATATGTGACCATCGAGGTCTTTTAGATGCAACTGCTCCATGTACGGAACAAGTGCTCATTGTTCCTGTGCAACCGAGAACACTCTGAATTTGAGCAACTTCAGACATAGTATTATTCTGAAAAGTTAGATCTGAGAAAATAAGACTTCACAAAGGTGTTACCCTCTCTTGTAGAGGTGTCGCTTTCGAGCAAGAACCAATATGGTCCATTTCTGTTGGATTTTCTATCAAAATTCCGGGAAGACGATCAATAATGAAGTAATTTCTGAACGCTCTATCTCGACCGAGATATACTTGACCACAAGCGCCTGAAAAAGAAATATGGAATTCGGAATAGTAGAAAACCTATACTTGAAAGATCAAAAATTGCAGTTAACAACTTGTCCTCAGCTTCCTTAACCTTTTCTTTCTGATACTCTCTCGCTGTGAGTATATCTTGCAAGTTCAACTCTGCGTACTCAACTCCTGCCAGAACAATCTGAACCAGAAGTCTTAGATGCGAAGAAAAAGCTTTAACAAACCTGATCAAATTCGTCTTTATCACTCCTTCTAGAATCACGAAGAGCTTTCAGATGACTTTTTAGTCTCGTAGTTTCCGCTCCTGATAATGTCAGGGTTAAGATGACACATGAGTTTCAAATTTACCTGAAGCTCGAGGCTTCTCAGCTCCTTCCTTCTCGAGTTCATATTCACAAACTAGTTGAGCTTGATGAGCATCCTAGAAAAAATAAAGAATACGAAAGGCTTAACTATATGAAAATTACAAATTCTTGCGTCTGATCCCACGTTCTGAGCTTTTTCCATTCTCGCTTTGTATCATATAGCTGAGAGATTCTTTCATCTTGCAGAGTTCGAAACTGTAGACAAGTAAGGTAAATAAAACTCAGCTATGGAAATCACCTTATGATATGTTAATAACTGAGAAATGACCATTTGCATCAGATCCAATCGTTCCTTAGGATTGAGGTCGAACACAGAACCCTACAAAAACGAAAACTTAATCAACTTCACTATAGAAACGCGTACTGTTTTTAGTTTCTCCATTACATCAGGGTGCTCATAACGGAACTGGAAACCTGGATCTTCATATCTGAAGGGAAAAAATAAAAAACGTTTGCAAACAGTATGAAATTACCCGTGATAGTTACCACGAGCGAACAATCTGTGTCGATGAGTAGCTGAACCTGTATAGTAACCCGAAGTTAGAATGATAAGCCTGAGGACTTCTGATATGGTCATCCAATCGACAGGTAAATGGCGAACAGGGTCTCCTGAAAATGGCTGGACTGTAGGACATAAGGAGATCAACTGATACCATGTGTTTTCCTGAGCAAGCGATGTAATCTAGTCATCTCTCTGATCTCATCACCATAAATAGGATGGATGGGATCGCAGTTTTGAAGTTGAATTAGTTGCATCTCTTCACGGTTTTCAATCTCAGCTAAAAGGAGGATAGAGAAAAGATTAGAAATAAGTCATTACCTTCATTTCCGTCTTCCTCATCTGCGGCTTCAGACCTTGCAATCAACAAAATCTTCATCAAATCACAGTATGGACTTCGATTGGGATCTTTACACCGAATAGCTATCACGATATCATGTAATGATATAGTTGAAGACCCTTGAAACTCGAATGTTTAAATCATTTATGTATAGTTACCTCTAATTTCTTTCACAGGTAGAAACTCTAAGAATCCATTGAAGAACTGTAAGATTGTGAGAAACTCGGAGAAGTCTTCATCACTTATATAATTCGGTATTTCAACGGCGGGGAGGTTGGGGAATGGCTGTAATAAACTGGTTTAGAAGCATCAGATGGTTACTCAAACCTTCAGATCATCGCATTCAAGATCATCTCTCTTTCTATTCCATTCAAACTTTGCTTTCAGCTTAAGTTTCTTCTGCTCTTTTGCTGACTCACGATCCTGAAGCTCTGGATGAATGAAGACAAAGGAAAAGGATTGAACCTGTTCTTTGGCTACTTTTACAATCTCTTTCAACTTATTAATCTCTGTATTACTGAGAACACGATCATTTTGCTCATAGTTGGAAATGTCCACTGATAGCTTTTTCGCGGTTTCGAATAAACCCGCCAACTCCTCCTGTTGCATATTAATCTGAACGATTTAAAGTTACTTCCAAGAATGAAAGAAGTGAGAAACCTTCTGTTTCTTCTTTTCACTCATGCCTCTTCCTCCTGCAGATTTCCGCTTGCCCGATGCTTTAGTGTCTGAAAGAATCCAGAGTAAGAAAACTGAGAGAGCTTCTAGAAACCTGGCGTGGTTTGTCCATTTACGGGGACTTTAGACTGCCGACCCCTTTGGAGTATTGGTGTTTTGGGAAACAGAGGCTCAGGGCCTCCGATTATTTCGTCCCAAGTGAGCGTGTCGAGAGACGAATCTTTGAGATACTTTTCCTGAAGAATCAAAAATAGGAACATTCCGATATAACTGATCTTTACCTTGACTTCATACCTTGCTCCGTTCAAATAACAAAAATGTTTTAAAAATAGCTTAAGCTTAGGCTTAGATACAAGATGCTTATTACGTGAGAAACTACGACTTGATAAGTATTCTCTAACTCCATCATCATCTTCAACTTTAGTTTCTTCAATAATTTTAACTTTATAACGATAAGATTCAACAGCTGGGATTATAGCATCTTTTTTCGGCCTAAAAACGCAGGACATAAAGAGATGGAGAACAAAGGAGATCAACACTCACATTTCCCCATTGATTTGAGTTTTCTCAGAATTTACATGACAATCTAGGACCTTAGCAATTCTTTTAGTTCCATCTTCTTGGAACATGCATTCTTCTCCAATGAAGTATCGATCCTATATAAATAGATTTTATGGAAGAACTTGGAAACTCGTGACTACCTTTAAGAATGAGGAGATATCGTTCAAAACATCATCAAATCTTCCTCGACAAACATAGTTCTTAATAATATACAGAATAGGAGTTCTAAGATACATTGGGAAATCGTCTAAAGCTTTCTGAAACAGATGAAAGATACATGATGTCAAGCTCTATCTCCTTTGCATACCATTGCCTCATGCTCAGACTGTAAAGCTTCGAAGTATGTTAGCCCGGTTTTACCAGTGAATTCACATGACCATTGCGTTGAATTGAGAGCAACAGTTCGATCGAAGAATTCGCTATACATACAGAAAGGTTTTCGAGAATGCTTTACTCAACTTACTCATAATTAGTGAATATTTCGTTACTGACTTCCAGATAAAAAACTTTAGTATTAGGAGCTATACCATGAGGGACCTGATTTCTTTCGAATTGTTTCTTATTTAGTAGAGGCATTGCTTCTGGAAAAAATTGATTTAATTCGTTGAAATCAAGAAGAGACGCAAAAAAATATCCTCTGCGTCACTATATGTCATGCAACGAACATAAAATTCCTCTTATTCACAGAGAAAATCTGCGCAGACGAAAGGCAAAAAATGAGGAAAATAAGTTTGGAAGCACTAAATGAGGTGTTACCAATAAACATATACAAGACATTCATAAAAAGTTCGTATATTAGGTTGTGTAACCTAAAAAAATTAAGAGGAGAATTCAAATATGCGCCCAGCAGGTGGCGTCCAAAGACAAATATATTTCGTTTATTGATCGCGCGCAGCAATAGAAACTCTTAATGTATTAAAACAATTAGAAAACTGATATATAGTACTATCTAGATTTGAAGTAAATATTTATAGAGCGAAACAACATGATATATATTTGATACATTATCCTAAAAAATCTGATATCACAATTTTAAGATAGGGAACTCTCGGAAATTAGTATACATTCTCAGCTCTTAGAGGCAATAACAAAAAAATACCCTGAAATCAAATTATGTCTACATGTATTACTGGTTCAGAGGCGATTGTCCCATCTCCTTGAGGTCAGGCGAAATCTAGAATAAACTATGAACAACCGCTCTGCGCGTCTAGCATACTTTGAATGGAGCAGCGGTTTTCGCTTTGACATCATCAACAGTTAAATCTTTTCTGACTTCGAGCAGAACTAATTCGCGATTAACAACATCGAACACAGCCTAAAGCTTTCTTGATGTCAACCATTTTATGCTTTTGTTTACCAAGTCTGTGATAATGCGGGAAACAACACCCTTTCCTGTCAAGGGCAACTCGCACTCTGGTAAAATTTTGGATTTTCCATCTTTTGAACAGTGCTCCATTACAACAACAACTTTCGCTCCAGGAGCAGAAACCAAATCCATGGCTCCTCCCATGCCTTTTACGAGCTTCCCCTACAGAAAGGCACAATATGATGAGATCTATTGTCGGAAAAACGTACAGGTATCATCCAATTAGCTAAGTCACCAGTGGAAGATACTTGAAGAGCGCCAAGAATGGTAATGTCCATATGTGAACTGATCAAAATAGAGACAAGAAAACCAGGTAACACTTACCCACGGATCATAGCAAAAGATTCATCACTTCCTACAATAGCAGCTCCTGGTAACAGGGTAACTGGTTCTTTTCCAGCGTTAATGAGATCAGGGTCCTCGGTTCCTTTTTTGGGATATGGGCCCTAAACCAGCATTTATGAACTGCGAAACACTCAACAGACTCTTACCACTCCTATAATTCCATTCTCACTTTGCAAGTGAACTGTGACTCCTTTTGGGATATAATTAGGGCTCAAAGTTGGAATACCTATTCCAAGATTTACTAGATAAACAAAAAATGTATATAGGTTTAAGTTGAGAGCCACTTACCGTACATACCATCTTTGAATTCGAGTGCTGTACGTGAAGCAATGACTTCTCTAACTCTAGCAGCAGGGGTGGATGGTTTCTTTACGGTTCCTTCCTGAAGAGATTAAGTAAGAATCATAAAATAATGCATCACACACCGATGCAAACATTGGACGCTCAATTGGTTTAACATAGTTCCTACCATGGACCAAGCGATGGCAATAAATAGATGGGATGTGAACCTAAATTGAACTCTGGAACAGAATGAGCTCCAATACTCACATCGTTTGGAGGAATTACACCAGGATCGACGATCTCTTCAACTTCAACAATGGTGCACTTGCTGGCCTTACACATAGGATTGTTGAAGTTACCGGCTGATTGTCTAAGCTTTCATCTTATTCTCGGACATGTTTATCTATTTATACCTGAATTGTATGTTTCCTAGCTTATCTGCTCTCCAAGCCTTAATCAAGGCATAATCACCCCAAATTGCTTCCTCTAACACGTAATTGATACCATTGTACTCACGAGTCTGAGATAAGAACGGAAAGTGAAATTGAGAGAAAAAAGGCTTACTTCACGTGGCTTGCTATAGATTTCAATTTCTCCTTTCTTAGTTTGACTATATTTGATGGGCGATCCTCCTTCCTGAATTAAAGTTCCATATCCTGTTGGTGTGTAGAATGCTGGAATACCAGCTCCGGCGGATCTTATTCTCTCAGCCAAAGTACCCTGAATAAATAAAAGAAGATATGACAAAGCAGCAGGCAATATATAACCATTCAAAGATAATACATCACTGAACACAAAACAAAGATGGCAGTTCAAATTACCTGTGGGGTGAATTCGAGCTCCAATTCTCCAGATAAATATTGACGGGCGAACTCATTATTCTCTCCTACATAGGAAGAAATCATTTTTTTGATCTGAAATTCTCCATTTTGGAAGGAAAATGAAATTATTATCAACTTGTTTCTTCTTCAGAAGCAATCCCAAGCCAAAATCATCTGTACCAGCATTGTTTGAAACACAGGTTAATCCCTTTTGTCCACATTCAGCCAAAGCACTAATCAAGTTCTCCGGAATTCCGCATATTCCGAAGCCTATACAAGAACTAAGTAAGAAGAACAGTTAAATTAATGACGAGACCTCCGACAAGAAGCTTGGCATTATCAGGAATGTCTTTAATTGCATCTCTAGCGTTCTCGAAAATTTGAGCGTTAAGAGCTCTTGAAGTCGAAAGACTTCTGGCAATTAGCTGCAACCGAAGTTATTACGGAAACATATACTCAAAACCTTATTTGGTAAAGAACTGCGGACACATAATCCGAGGAACGACACCATTCTATGAATGCAACTGAAAATTGCTTATTAAAGGAAATAGTGCAGGCTACAAGAACAAAAGAGAATTGTAACACATGTCGAGTATCATCTGACTAGCATGAAGTTAAAATGAGAAGCGAAGTGAGACTAGGAGCTGTTGGCAACCAAGATACCGCCCGCCGGTTGAAGGAGAGAAAGACAACCGCGTGTGCAGAGGCACTGATGTGTGATCTATATGAAATGCTTAGAACACATATCATTCCAATGACAATTCCTTCTCAAAAAAGCATTATCTTTGATAATGATTTAAAAACAAGAGGAGAACTGCGTGAAGCAAACTGATATCAATAAGAAAACTCATCTCACTGAAAAAATATTTTTATGAACTGTATAATATTTGCCCAGTATCAAGGAATTGTTTTACGACTCGAATTAAGCTCTTAAGCCTCATTCACTTATGCCTACACACACGAATAGCCTTGGTTCCAACTTCATACCATGCAATAGAATTGCATTGCATCTAACTTCTCAAACATGATTCCCTTCCGAGTCTTTTTTCTTCTATCTTTTATAGAAACTTTCATTTCGTGCTCTAGTCACAAATTTTCTGGGCGGGAGTCCCATTCAAGAGACCGTTCGCATCGACCGCATCGCATCGAACTGCCCCTCGGCTTTGCTGAGTTTTTTCGAATTTCGAAACCGGCGCGCAAACAGGGCGCGCTCTCATTGGCCTATTCCATTTTCCCGCCTCTCTTTCCATCTAATTGGCCTACACTCTCCTACGCTCAGTCTTGCTCGCTTGCATTTTTGGTGTATTTTTTAATACTATTTTGTTATGTTAAAATTGTTTTTTATTGTTATATTTTATCGGCAAATTTTGTTTCAGTCTTTCGAAATAAGTTTTATCGATATGGCGTTTGTTCGTCCTTGTCTCCCTATGTCTTGTCATTTTAGTTATCGATCGCTTTTTAGAGTTCTAGAACAAAATGCGCGAGATCGTTCACGTTCAAGCTGGACAATGCGGTAACCAAATTGGTGCCAAAGTATGATAATTTATTTTTTCAAGTATTTTCAATTTTTTCTTTCAGTTCTGGGAGGTTATCTCTGACGAGCACGGAATCCAACCTGACGGAAACTACGCTGGTGACTCAGACCTTCAATTGGAGAGAATCAACGTTTACTACAATGAAGCCTCAGGTAACCGGAAAGCTAGCTCTTGCAGATACATGAATGCAATTATAGGAGGCAAATATGTACCCCGTGCCGTTCTCGTTGACTTGGAACCTGGAACCATGGACTCAGTCAGATCCGGACCTTTCGGTCAACTTTTCCGTCCCGATAACTTCGTCTTCGGACAATCCGGAGCCGGAAACAACTGGGCCAAGGGTCACTACACCGAGGGAGCTGAACTTGTCGACAATGTCCTCGACGTTGTTCGCAAGGAAGCCGAAGGATGTGATTGTCTTCAAGTATGAATCATGCGTCATGGGCGTCGGACATTTTTGAAATTTAGGGATTCCAACTTACCCACTCCTTGGGAGGAGGTACCGGATCCGGTATGGGAACCCTCCTCATCTCTAAGATCCGTGAGGAATACCCAGACAGAATTATGTCTTCATACTCTGTTGTCCCATCTCCAAAGGTACTGTGCAGTTTGTGCGCGATAAATAGTTATGGGTTTGGTTTTAGGTCTCAGACACTGTTGTTGAGCCATACAATGCCACTCTCTCTGTTCACCAATTGGTTGAGAACACTGATGAGACTTTCTGCATTGACAATGAAGCTTTATACGATATCTGCTTCCGCACATTGAAGCTCCAAAACCCAACATACGGAGACTTGAATCATCTTGGTGAGTGAGGTCATCATGGCCAATCTATAAAAATGGCAGACGAGCTCGTGCAATCGATTTTTGCTTAATGGCTAGCTGCGAAGGGAAATTGCACATAGTGCGCTTAAATTAACTGAATGAATGACACGAAACAATAAAACCAATATTTTCAGTTTCTGTTACCATGTCTGGAGTAACAACATGTCTTCGATTCCCTGGACAGCTTAACGCCGATCTCCGCAAACTTGCTGTTAACATGGTTCCTTTCCCACGTCTTCACTTCTTCATGCCTGGATTTGCTCCTCTCTCTGCCAAGGGTGCTCAAGCTTACAGAGCTCTTACTGTTGCTGAGCTTACCCAACAGGTAATTTGTTACACTATCATACGAGTAGCTAATTGCTGCTTTAGATGTTCGATGCCAAGAACATGATGGCTGCTTGCGACCCACGTCACGGACGTTACTTGACCGTTGCTGCCATGTTCCGTGGACGCATGAGCATGAGAGAAGTCGATGACCAGATGATGTCTGTACAAAATAAGAACTCCTCATACTTCGTTGAATGGATTCCAAACAACGTCAAGACCGCTGTTTGTGACATCCCACCACGTGGATTGAAGATGGCTGCTACCTTCGTTGGTAACTCCACCGCCATTCAAGAGCTCTTCAAGCGCATCTCCGAACAATTCACTGGTGAGTAGTTAACAGCTATTAAATCACAACAACCATTTTTTTCAGCTATGTTCCGTCGTAAGGCTTTCTTGCATTGGTACACTGGTGAAGGTATGGACGAGATGGAGTTCACTGAGGCCGAGTCTAACATGAACGATCTCGTTTCCGAGTATCAACAATACCAAGAAGCCACCGCCGATGATGAGGGAGAACTCGAAGGAGGCGAAGGCGAGAGCTACGCTGATCAGGAATAGATTTCCTTTTGACGATTAAAATATGTTGCTTCCCTGATCTATGCTTACCTTAATGTTTTATTTATTGCAATGTTATCTGAAATGAACTGGCTTAACCGTATTCACTTGTTCCATGTTGACTCCACGATAAAAGGCTTATGCTTGAAAACATCAGAATTATATGTAGTAAGAAAAGTTGAAAAAAAACAATCATATCCTAAAACGGTTAGAACGTGTCTATGAGAAAGGAAATGTAGAACGCCGAGATGTTAGCATCGCTCAGGTTGTTGTGTGATTGTGCGTCGTGTACTTTGATCCTTGGACAACCAACGCTCTGTTGTTTTCCAACATTCTTCTGCCATTTATATTATTTTTTAAGGATGATTCGTACTTGCCTATCTGTTCTAACTAAGCCTTCATTGTTCGCTTCTAGAACTAGGTTAATACATTAATACATTTATTATATGAAAGAGCTGAATAACTATCCCTATTCAGAACTTTTGCTTCGGCTCAAGACCAGTTTGAACAAGCCCAAGCACTTCTGAAGACAGTTAAAGAAGACCCTGATGTTGAAACAAAGCTCAAGCTCTATTCTTTATTCAAACAAGTAATTGCTATGAATATAAACTGTTTTTATTGACCCTTTTGAGGCTTCTGTTGGAGATGTGTCTGGTAGTCGTCCAGGAATGATGGACTTCGCTGGTAGAGCGAAATATGACGCCTGGGCCAAGAACAAGGGCATGTCACAGGTGATAAACGATTTATGAAGTGTGATTTTGGTTAATAATTTCAGGATGCTGCGAAATCTGAATATGCTAAGGTTATCAGTGGTTTGGTTAGTTCAGAAAGTGCTGTCCCAACATCTGCTACTGTGGAAGGCCTAGCTCCTGTCAATGGCTTAGATGTCAGTTTGATGGTTAGATGTCTTAATGATGACGTAGTTAAGGTATCCATTGAAGGAAAGGCTTTCAAGATCACTTTGAATAGACCCGAAAAGTTTAACGCTATAACTGTAGACATGTACAGAGGATTAATCGCAGCCTTAAAGGCATCATCGGAAAATAGAGCGACCTCAGTTACCGTCATTTCAGGTCAGTCGATTGTTTGTTCGATTAAAATCAATCAGGGATGCAACGGTTATTGAAAATACTAAATATGGAAAGAGTCAACCGGTTATACCGGCAATGTGTTATAAATGATTCTGACGTTTTCCACATAACCTAACCAAGTTTATGTATTTCTTCATATCTTTTGTGTTTCAGCCAATGGAAACTACTTCTGCTCCGGAAATGACTTAGGAAATTTCGCAAAAGCTGCCACAGCCTCTAGGGAAGAGATCAAGAAAATGGCTGAGGACGCAGGCGAAATGCTTCAAGAGTATATTGATGTGAGAGAGCTGTCGTTGAGTTTTTCCTCAACAAAACCCATTTAAGACTTACATCAACCACGAGAAGCCGATAATCGCTTTGATAAATGGACCCGCTATTGGTATCGCGGTCACTGTTCTGCCTTTGTTTGAGTATGTGTTAGCCTCAGATAAGGTATATCAATTGATGGTATCGTCCACTCATTCTTCTTCTTCTGTTTCAGAGTACGTTCAATACTCCTTTCGCTACTTTAGGGCAATCCCCAGAGGGATGCTCATCTTACACTTTTCCTCTGCTAATGGGTCAGATGCGAGCTGCTGAGGTTTTACTTTTCGGAAAAACATTAACAGCGAGCAAAGCACAAGAATATGGACTCATTACCGAGGTGATACAGCTGTAATGATAGTTATATAGTAGGATTAGGTTGTTCCTCACAATGAGTTCAAAGCTGCGTCCAAAAAAGTGGTTGAGAAGTTATCCTCACTTCCCCCTGAGAGTCTGAGGATTAATAAGATGCTGCTCCGTCGTATGCACAAAGAAGCTCTTCTTAAGTGTAACGAGGTACTTCATTCTAATAAACGTTAGGGAACATTATCTTCTAGGATGAATGCCGTACTATTGAGGAGAGATGGCAGTCTAAGGAATGTGCTCAAGCCATCGCCAGTTTCTTAGCACGCTCGGCTAAGTAACCGACCATTCAATAACTATCTGTGTATTATTTGTAATTAGCAAATAAATATATAAAACATCATAAATTTTTATGCAGTGACTTGTCCTGCATCGGTGAGAATATCAGGATATCATATATTATTTACAATAATTTCCATGCTTTTCTATTTACTACATGATTCCATTGCCTCCTCCCCTACCCCTGTCATCTTGATCATCAAGGACAATTATTTTTTCTCGTGTACATGCATCACAAGCAGGTATTCGTATTACTATATAAGCTGGTTCTTTCTGGTGAACCTTAAATTTGAATATGAGATATGAAAAATAGCATTTCATACCTTGTTTTCACATATTGGACAACAAAAATTCGGTTCCAAATGAGGACGTTTGACTGCTGTGGGAGAGCTTTCTGCAAGAGCTGCCCTCTTCACACAGTTCTGTAGAGCAGATGAATGTATCACCCTGGGATTTGGTACAGTAGAATCGTTATGATAACTGGAATAAGCGCGATGAGAGAAAGGAAAATGGAAATATGATGCCTTTCATGGTCACTTCTCCGTGTGCCTCGTAATGTTATCTGTTCATCTGTAATCCATTCGAAATGACCATCTTCAAATTGAACCTAAAAGCCTGATATGATGACTATCGGGAGAAGAAATCTTACTTTATAGCTTCCACCATTCCGCACATAACGAATAGTTGCTACAACTGGTCTTCCTTCTTTTCGAATTTCCACCTGTTCTCCTATTAGTTGAGATGCTCGTAGTACTTCTTGTTTAATTCCCGAAGACGAGCTAGGCTGCATGAGATCCTTCAAATAGAACATGTACTAGGAAATTGTGAGTGAAACAAACCATAGAATGATCGAAAATAACTTCATCATTAGACTTAGGTCGAGAGATACCCTTGCTATCACTAACAGAAAGATCAAAATAGACATTTGAGTACTTTAGAGAACTTACACATTTATAACAGGCATGGCCATTTGAACAATTTGTTGAATACTTTCATCTGTTAGGTTATTAACGTCTATACTCATCTCAGCCAACTGTTCATGAGAAAACTGAAGGAGTATGTGTGTTGTATTATACTACTGAGGAACTTACAAAGAAGTTTTGATTGCTCGCATCGGTTAACTTCAGACTTCCATCATCTGTGATTATCATCGTGATAGCATCATTGTTTAAAGCGGAATTGGATTCTACACTATCACCAGAAACTGAAACACTCATGAGTACAGGGAAAGAGTGAGAACGAGAAAACCTGCAAAAGATTCATCGTGCTGTGATGATGGCTCTGGCTCCACTTCTTCTTCTGTTATACCCGGCGCTCGTTGCTGGAAGAAAAGTGAGATTGAGAATTTCAGCGACAAGACTGTACCCTTCTTTCAGCAATAATCATTAGCGTATTCAATTGTTCTTCCGTTAACTCATTTAAATTGTCCATATCTAAACCCGCTTCTTCTAGATCCTCCGGTGATATCTGAAGAGCCATGTCATAGATGTATGGTCAGCAAATATTACCATAATAGTATTTAATGCATCAACTTGTTCATTTTCAGGCATAACATTATTGTCTTCAAAATTGGCTACAGGCTCTTCTCTTGTTAACTGAGGCGGCTGAAACAGATCATAACGCAGTCGATGTGAAACCCGAACCTCTTGGTTATCTTCCTCTTCACATTTAATTACAGATTTTAAATCGCTTTCTGTTGTGGAACCTACTAACACAGACACACGATCTAAATTCAACGTAGTACCCCTGAAACAAATTTCGTATGAACTTCGAATACTAATGAAGGGTTACTCTATTTTTGTTGGAATCGATGTGTTGTCGTTACTATTTGAATCACTTGGCGAACCACCAATCACATCAAGAGCGGCCATGCCTGAAGAATGCTTTGAATAAAAAATAAAAGGGGAGTAAGATAAATAAATGTCAAAAACATGTTCTAAAGAGCAAGAAGAGCAAATCAAAATATTTATATACAATAAACAAAACAATAACAATAAAAGTTAACAAAGAGATTATCATGAAGACTCCTGGTTCTGAGCCGGAGGTGGTAGCGTTTCAGTTATTATCTGAAGACACACGGATTTGATCAATGACAACCAATTTGGAAACGAACCTTTACGATGTTGTTCAACTGTTCTTCCGTCTTAAATCGTTCTTCCGATTCTTCAACCAACAATTGAACCTGTAATCGAACGAGTTACAAGAATGAGTATGAGTTTCTTAACCTCAGTAGCAGTTGTCGGCCTCAAGTTTATTATCTGCATTATTTCAGCAGCAGTCAACTAGAAGAATCGAGAGTATTCGGAGAAGGAAGTAATAAACACATACATTAAACTTGGTCATTTCTCTAATTAGAGTAGCGATACACTCAGGAGTTTGAGTCGCACAAGGCGTTGTTCGCAAGTACTTAGAAGTCTGAAACTCACATGAACTAATGAAACATCATTGGATTATAACCTCGAAAAGAACAGTTCCTAACGATTGACACTTTCCTTTGTTCTTCTTATCCTCCATTTTCTTCGTTTCTTGAAGAAGGGTCAAAACCTCATAGTTTGATAGAAGAGTGACTCGATCATTCAAAACCTCCATCTATAAAGAGTGATTGATACTGTATACATAGAGAAAGGAGTGTGAGTTATGGAATGGTGAACAACCATATGCAATCGAACAAAACAAGATATGAAGATTTATTAATAAATAAAACCTTCAGAGCATTTTCCTGTTATAGGACAGAAGAGTGTTATCCACCGCGCAAAAACTATGATACCTGATGAATGAATACTATCAACATGTTTTCTATTATACAAGATGCAATTGACTATACAGGTCATAAAGTTAAAACAATAGAAATCTATCTTAAATTAAAAACTACAAGCATACAAAATTTACATTATTGTAAGTGACTAGATACACGAACCATCATTTTCCCGATATTTTTACCAGCCATCATGTCTACAAAGGCTAATGGAGCAGCAGATAAACCAGTATATATAGTTTCCCGAACCTGAAACGTCAATCAAGAAAGTTATTACAGAGCTTCTTACCTTCAGTTTGCCTTCCTGAAGCCATAAAGAAAGTTGGGCAACTGCACTATCCATTTCTTCTTTATAAGCCAAACACAAGTACCGTTCCCTAAAATGGCTCATTCGAATTGCAGAGAGGGCTAACTGAACCTTAAAATTCTTTTCTCATTAATAATTTTTATAGTTTCTGGTGGTATAGGTGGAGGATAGGGTAAATCTGTGTTATAAACGGCTATTTGTCCGCACAAGACTATACGGCCATCATCGTTCATCTGAAGATGAGAAACATTGAATGAACTACTACAACTATGGATACCAACCTTTTGAATAACTGCATCACTAATAAAGCCTCCTACATTATCCCAATAAATATCTACGCCTTCAGGAGCTAACACACTCAACTTCTCGCCAATCGCTTCTCCTTTATAGTTGATAGCTGCATCGAATTGAAGCTCATCAACCTATAGTACCCATTGAACTAACTGTACATCGTGAAAGGAGACTTACTAAGACTTTACATTTAGCTTCTGAGCCACAAATTCCAATAACTTTCGTACAGCCCTCTAACCTAGCTATCTGAATGTGGATGCAAATGACTTGAATACTACAAACTGAGTGCTTACTTGTCCGGCTAACACCCCGCAACTTCCAGCAGCAGCAGAAATTACAATTGTTTGAGGTTTTGTCCTATCAATCAAAGCCTGCAACAGACACGATTCATGCATTAATTATACTAATATACGTGGTGCATAGCCAACGCGAATCAATTTTCGAGAAATGATGCGCGCGAAGCGGTTGCATACCTCTTGATCCTTAGGGACTAATCAAGAATTTTATAGAGGTACCAAACATATTATGTCAGCTTTTACAGAAAAATGGTTTGTTTTGCTCACTTTTTTACGAATTCCTACAAGCGCTGTCATTCCTGAAATTCCAGCACATGATAATATGACCGAAGGGGAAAATCCAGAAGGTAAGTGAACCTGTGAGAATTAAGAAAAAGTTGGACGTGAATAGTATACCTTAACAAGATCGGAAGAATCGGCGATGAACTTTCTCGTCCAAGGCCACAAATGAGCACATGAAGTTACAATATCACCCGCATTCAATACACAATCAGATGAAGCAGTCTTTAATGACTATGGTCAACAAAGAATAACAATAATAGCTTACCTCTACAATCCCAATACCTTCGAGACCATCGACTAACTCTCCCGGTTCATAAGGAGCTAGATAATCAACGCCGGTACTAGGATTCATTCTACATCGCTTTAAAATAGTAAAATAGAAACTTCAGAATCAATATTAGCAATAAAAATGTTTTAAATGCTTACCTGAGCGGGGTCCACGGAAAGATATAAGGTACGTACTATGCATTGTCCAGGCTTTAACTCAGTGACTTGCGGGACATGACAAGGCTCACATCGGAAACAATCGGAGGACGGTGGAGCGTTCTCTCCTACAAGAACAAAAAGTTATTTACTCAGAAACTTTATGCTAACCTGGTCTTTTCACGAAAACTACTCTCTCATTTCCTGTAGAAGGAATAGTATCGGCGTCCATATTACATTAATATTGTTTTCTCGTTACAAAGATCTGAGTAAAAGAAACATTCTTGTTGGTCAAACGAAGTTTCGAAAACAATAATTCATAAGAAGTATTCGGAGAACAATATTAGTAATGGCAAGAGCTTCTTATTTTAGAAACGAAAAAACTTTGTTTATATGCTCTATCACACTGTTCAGGCATTTTCGAGATAACGTCTGAAATTTCTAGTCTGCTATTAATTAACATAGAAACACGTGGGAGCTTATTTTGATAATTTCTTGTAACAAACATTCCTGATCGAATAATGCACGTCACTTAATGGAACAACTACTACGATTCATACAAACGAATCATCTTGCGCCTGTCAATGAACGACGCGATCTTCAATCTCGAGAAGTGAACTGATTCTTCTATCAATGAACTCCATACGCAAAGTATAACTCTCCGATTATAAGGATATGAGGGCGTTTAAAATATTTTTTATTCATCTAAACAAACAATGTACGAAACTAGAAGTTTCAAATTCATTAAATCTCCTCAAGCGTTTGAAATTATCCACTACGTTGTAGTTCCATACTCGAATTATTAAATTGATTGATTAAATGCTGTCATTAATAATCTAGGGAATTAATACTTTTACAAAAAACGTAAAAATCACATATGTATAACATTTCCGTAAAGGATTTAAGGCACATGGAATGTAATATTTTCGGCTTAAGGTTTTCTACTAAGATTCAACTAAATGCGATAATCATAATTCTATAAACAACAGTTCATGGTCGTGATCATACATAACCCCGTTCTGAACACAAGTATTATAGGACAAGTCACGTGCTGATTCTGTCTTGCTGCAAAGACTAAAGAACCAAATCATTTTTTGCCTTCGTAGGCAGAATGAAGAATGATAAAGCATTGGTAAAGTTTCAAAAAGATCATCAGAACGAACAAGCTTATTCCCACTCAGTTGTTCCTGGTGGCTTGCTTGTCAAGTCAATCATAATACGAGAAGTTCCCATGACTCTAGCTGATATCTCTTCTGCCATCATCAGTACGGACTGAAATAATATCCACCCTATACTGACATTCTCATCGCCCAGGAATTACCTTCTGAGACAATTGTTTTCCGGGGATGGCAGCTATTCCAGTCATGAAGTCAGAGGTAATGAACGGTCTGACTACGAAAGAATGCTGATAAGAATTCGGCTCAACAGCTGGGTCTCTATCAAAGTGAATTGGAACCATAACTACAGGCATCTAAACAAAAAAAAACAGACTTGGAGATAAATTCCTCATGATACCTGTTGTATCTTTTTGCTACAATCTTCTAATTTAACCTGCTTGCCATCAATTACAGCATGACCAAACAGAATGTCGGTAGCGATTTTATCAGCTTTTTGAAGTTTACGAACTGTGAAAGAACTTAAGTAGGTAGGGGTTATGGAGTAGATAGGATGTTTCACTGCGGCCCCGAATGCATACACAACTCTTAAAAAACACTTTGGATGCGAAAAGCAGAAAATACAACATACCTGTTGATATTATGAACGATTTTAGGAATTACTTGAGCAAGAGTAGCCATATGATCCCAAGGAATGGGTCTCTGATCAGTGGAAAGAGCGACCACATAGGAGTAGGATCTGTATAATCAAAAGATGATAAAAAAAAAGAAAAAAAGGGTTTATCAGCACCTACTATCTCCCTGTACTCCTACACTTTTGATCGGGAGCAATGTGGAATTTATATCGAAGTTCTTGTTTAAAAGATTTTCTAAGTTCCAACCGTCCATAGACTCAATAACCTAACAGAAGAATGATTTAGTTTCTCGAAGCAGAGACACACTTACCGAGGCACGGTAATGCTGATCCTCCAGAAGATCAGGTACTTTGTGTAAATTAGAAATAATATTCAGTCTAGAGTGAGTTATTTCAAAATCGGAACATTTATACGGCTTCTAGGAGTTGTTACATATTATAAGTGAACAAGGAAAAACACTTACCACTCCACATAGAATACGAATACAAAGTCCTGGTCCGGGGAACGGTTGTCTTTGAACAATCTCTTCCGGCAGTCCCAAGCTAGCTCCTAGTTCTCGGACTTCATCTTTGTGGAAATCTTTAAGTGGTTCGATGACTCTACCCTAAAATTCAGAATACATGAAGTCGTTCTCTTTCACTAACCATATCCCGAAGTTTTCGAACTAATTCAGTATCATTGTGATGAGTTTTAATTGTATCTGCATGGCCACTTGCCAGAGAACTTGCGCTCTCAATCAAGTCAGGCCTTAAAGTACCTTGTGCCAAAAAATATTCATCTTGATCGAGTTGAAGCTGAAACAATGAATGCATTAATAAGGACGGATAGCTCACTAACCTCATCCATGATTCTATCTTTAACCCTAATAAAAGTATTGCCTATGATCTGACGTTTCTCCTCAGGTTCGAGAGTGCTCTCCAGTTTCACTTCCTCTTTAGTTCCATTAATAGTTCCTTGCATGAACTCAATTTCACAGTTGAATCCTAGTGAGACAAACGTTGTTATTCAGTAGCCCAATAAAGAAATACCGTGTACACTCAGCTTCAAAGCGTTTAAGCTAGCTATAACAGCCTCACTCTCATTCTCTCTCATGAAGCCATTATCAATATGGATAGCCGTCACTCTTTCGTTTCCAAGTGCTTTATGAAGAAGTGCAGCGCAAACTGTTGAGTCAACTCCTCCAGATACCATAACCTAGATAAGGTACTGTACGAATGTTTTTTTTTACACTATCTTACCAGAACTTTTTTATCACCCACAACTTTTCTTATCTCTGCGATGCAGACATCTTCACGATTTTCCATTGTAAAATCGCCACGACAATTAGCGATGCGATAAAGAAAATTCTCAAAACTGAAAGTTTTGCAAAACAATTATAAAACTATCCGGAACGTGAACATACATCATTTTCCCGTTCGTTGTTAGATCAACTTCAGGGTGAAACTGAACTCCATAGAGCTTTTTCTCGTCGTTAGCAATTGCTGAAAACTTATGTCACTGAACAAGTGCTATCATTATTGCTCACCTGCAACATGAGATCCACTTCTACCAACAACTTTGAAACCAGGTGCGACAGAAGATTCAGAGACAGAATCTCCATGAGTCAAAAGAACTTCTTCTTTAGCATTCATACCGACGAACAGAGGACATGATGTATCCAAGTCAATTGTACATTGACCATCTTCCCGAATTTTTTCGGCTACTACTGACCCTTGATGATTCTTATTGAGAAGCTAAAAAAACATGTATGAGCATCGAGTAGGAATATGAATAACTCACTTGGAACCCGTAACATATTCCTAAAACAGGGAGACCACATGTAAATATTTCAGGATCGACTTGAGGAGCATGAGGGTCATAAACTGAGTTAGGACCACCGGATATTATGATACCACTTAAACCGAACGTTTATAACAAATTTTGACTGAAGATTACTTACGCAAACTTCTCCTCTACCAAGTCTTTTGCTTTTTTATGCAATGGAAACATTTCAGAGCACACCTTGGCCTCTCTAACACGCCGATCAATCACCTTAAACTCGGATTTCGAATTTGTTTAGCTGAACGACTAACCTTTCCATATTGAGCACCAAAATCGAGGATTGCTATTTTTTGTGTATTTTTAAGCTTGGGTGGATCAACAGCAATCATTTTCTCGACTCGCGTCACTCCTATATCTTCAACGGCAGTACGCCTCTTAGGAGATGGAGAGCGCTTCTAAAATGGAAAGTTAAGTGATGAGCAAAATTAACGAATTTAGAGTATATATACTTGACAAATAAAAGTATATCAGATATTTTACAAAGGGCGGTAAGAAAGATAGAAAAATGAGATAAAAAAGATGAAAGAACAAAACTGATGATAGCAAACATTTTCAAGACAAGCTGAAAAATCAATATGAGCCGAAACAACTGACTTTTCAGGATCATGCCGAGAGAGTAAAGTGCAGAAAAACTCATAACTATCAGAAATTTTCAATATTTAAGCAATAAAAGATAAAAGTATATAGAGATAAGCAGAGAAAAAAGAAACGCACATTGGAGAAAGGACATACAGAGTGTTAAGGAGATACTTAGAGGAACTCATTAGTAACACAAACCTCGATGCCGTTGATCCCAAGAGTTTCGTTCTCGTCACGTTCAGATCCGCGTTTCATATCACTGATCCTGCTAACGGCGGCAACCCGCGAGCTTTTCTGAAGATGCACTCAATAATCATTTTGAACTCACAACACATTGGTAGTACATAATCTTAGAAAGGAAAAAACACCAATATTAAAGACTTTAAAAACTCCGATTCGGAGAAAGAGCAAAGAGTTATGATAACTCTTGTATGGATAAATACATATAAATATATATATCTACATATATACTTATACAAAGTAAGGCACAGCATCAAAGAAAACCTACTTCTTCCAAAGTACGTCTGGAATGACGTTTGCTGGAATTGCCTCCAATTTTGAAAAATCGCTTCCAAATTTTAACTACTCTGAAATTATAGTAGAATAATGATGAAATAAAAAAAACTATCCGCTTAAAACCTAACGATGAGAACCAAGCTTGGTTATGTAAGTTTTAAATGCGCTTGAAGGATCTTTTTGTAATTTTTCAAAAATGGTCCCACAGCGAAAAGACCTCTTAGTGAATCCATACTCTGTTGACTAATGTTTATGTTTGCGGCTGCTCTTCTATGCTCTATTTTAATTTTGTTTTAATTTATATTTTAATCTTATTTTCCAGGGTGGATATTTCTATTTTGAGAACTGGAATTCAACAATATGGTAAATATAATTTGTGTGACTCTTGTTTTGAAGTTAGTTTAGAGTGACCAACAGTTGGATTGTGCCCTCGACTTGATGCGTCGCCTTCCTCCTCAGAAATGTGAAAAAAATCTTGAAGATTTAATTGATTTAGTTCCATCTTTATGCAACGATTTGCTCGGTAACCATACAATGCTCCGTTTAAATTGAATAATGCGTTTCTCAGGAACTGTTGATCAACCATTGAAGGTTGCCAAGGATAAGGAAACAGGCAAGGAATATTTAATGTGTGATTACAACAGAGATGGAGATAGCTACAGGTTAGTAATAATTTCTAATATTTTGTTGAATCTGAATATTCAGATCCCCATGGACAAATACATTCGATCCTCCAGTTGAAGACCCCCAGTTGCCCACTGAAAAACTGCGCAAACTGGAAATAGAGGCTAATGCTGCCTTTGCTAGTTATCGTGATATGTACTTCGAGGGAGGTGTTTCCTCCGTTTATTTCTGGGATTTGGACCACGGATTTGCTGGTGTTGTCCTCATCAAGAAGGTAAGATTATTTTAATTTTTTCTTAATTTATTCAACTTGTACTTTGTTCAGCAAGGTGATGGAGCCAAGAACATTCAAGGATGTTGGGATTCCATTCACGTCATTGAAATTGTTGAAAGAGTCAGTGATTTAATCATACTGTATGTATATATAATTCAATTGTTAGGGAAGTCGCCAAGCTCACTACAAGCTTACAAGCACTCTCATGCTATGGCTTCAAACAAATAAGCCTGGTAGCGGTACCATGAACCTTGGTGGTTCTTTGACTCGTCAAGTGGAACAAGATTGTCCTTTGAATGAGCAAAATCCACATCTTGTAAATATTGGTCGTATGATTGAGGTTTTGTAAATATTTTGATCTGTATAACAATTCTCTTGCAGGATCTCGAATCTAAGATGAGATCAACTATCAATGAGATTTACTTCGGAAAAACGAAGAAGGTATGTCTTCATTGATCAGTTTGTTTCTTATAATAGCTGCCTTAGGTCTTGAGCGATTTACGCTCGATAGAGAAAGCTTCTGAGAAAGAAAAGCAGGATGGAATTGTTAGAGAAATCGCCACAGCTGTATGTAACCGACCCGGAGCAGTCTAACAACCACAATTCATGTTAAGTCCTAATTTAAATTATTGTATCTTTTATATATGTGCGGTCTAATTTAACTATTTGCATTAGCATAATTAGCTTAAACGTAGTCCAAGTGAAGTGTGAATCTTCTTCTCAGTCGGTCTTCAGCGGACTTTTCAGCCGTCTGATTGTTTTCCATTTAACAGCCTTTTTAGAAAATGATAAAGCATTATGATTAAGAACTACCGTTCTTACTTCAGTTTCATCTGCGTTTCGAAATCCTTTGATGCTATGAACCTTTTTGCTCTTGTGACTGATTCCACGCAATTTGCTTATATTTTTTCTATTTTTCAATAGAAAGTGCCTGCTGCGATTAGAAAGAACAGTTTCTTCATTGTGCTGAATCCCAAATTAACACATAGCTTAAAGTAACTTCTGTGATGCAACAGTCATCCACTTCATTGCCAATGTTTGCGAAATTTCCAGAGAATCAAGTAACATCTTCTTCTTTACCTTGAGGCTTGCTTTATTAATGATGTATGATAAATCCTTTTATAACATATTTGCGCTACAAACCACTGTAGTTTGTATAAAGCTTAGAGTTTGAACTTCGACTTCAGAGGCATGTTTCTTGAAACTGTATGTTCAATACTTTGTGGATGAAAATAAACTTTTTTATTCTTTCTGTACAGATATTATACAAGTCTGAGATTCTTTTGGGGTTGGAGGGTATCCTGAGGCTTACATGAGATCAGTGAACTAATTGCACTTGACTTGTTATCTGTAGAAGCCGATTGCCCCTACTCTAGCATGGATGGAGTGTAAAGCATTTCTCATTCTGTCATAGGACGCCTGGTCGACAGTGTCCAAATCGACATTCTCTGACACAGCTCTACTGAAAAGTGAAATTTTTTATTACGATTCAAGAGAAAAAAAAGCTACCTGTCAGAGTCGTAATCATCATCAAGATTCGCCCGAAGCGCTTGTAGCTGTTTGTAAGGAATCCAACGGGCAACAGCAACAGAGAACAGAATGAACAAAATGAAGAGCTTCATGGTATGAACAAATAATAAGGCTTCGGAATTAAAATCTTAGAAGAAGTATTGTTTGAATAATGTAATTTCCCTGTTCCTTTTATAGTCGTTTCTTTGGGAGGGGCCTCAGCTGGGATCAAATAGTTGACGAAGCGTTGGTCGCTCTACTGTGGGGAGGAGCTGATGGCGTCGTGAAGGTTTTACCGTGACGAAAGAAGAACAGAGAGTATGCAAGAGAAAGCCCGCAATTGGAGAATGATCTCTCTCTTTACCATGTAGAGAAGAACCGTTGATCATTATGATTATCACGTGAATTCGGATGTTGAATATAACTTATGAACTATCATACAAGCTTGAGAATACTTTGGTACATCTGCTCTGCACTTACGAAATAAAAGTGAATAAACGTTTTCTATCCTTCAGAATGTCAACAACAAGAACATCCTTACTCGCCAAGCAGGTCATTTTGCTAAAGGTTTAAAGTTCTGTTGTATGGATCGCACACTTTCTTCATTTAATGACTTTCTGCCCAGACAGCTTACTATTGAACTGCATAACACGAATCTCCCAGTTCCATCCGCTCCTTGAAAGATCAACGGAGAGATCGAGAGTTGCTACGTAGTTAGTTGTGATTTTTCTATTTTTAGAAATGGCCAAAATGCAAAGTACGATAAAAACACTATCTTTTAAAAGATGATGTGAAAATAAATTTAAGTCTCTACCCACAGACAAAGCTTCAAACGAAGTTCCCAGATGTAATTTTTTCCGCTCAGAACCTTTTTCCATATCATTGACAGTCTGGTGATGCAGGTCGAAGAGTTCCTTGTGGAATGCTACATATTACAATATGCTATAATACTCAAAGACTAAAAAAATATTTATTTGTGTTACTTGAACAGACAACTACGATTTTTGCCTTTTTTTGAACACAGCTATCAAGTTATCAAAGTTTTTGAATCAGACATATCATAACTAGCCAAAGCACATTAATTTTGACAAGCGATCAGGAGACAATGACGTAGACTACCGCATGGGTGCAAGTTAGGTGCCACCTGTCCTTAACTGAAGGGAAACTGCATCCACTTTTCAAGTGAGAATTCAATTGACCGCCCAAATTTGAAATTTAAGTTTCTTAGTGCTTTCTCAGATAGTGCTAATTGTTGTGAGCGTCAAAGTGAGAACATTGCACTTAGAAATTGTTAAGTCAAGTAAGAGACATGTATATCAATTCTTTGTTTGACACGAAGGATGTATTGGAACAATGCCCCCAGGGAGAATTGCTTTCTCAGTTTTATTGACAAAGACAGTTGTGTATACATTCAACTAAATAGTTTAAACTTCTTGAATAAGGTGTTTTTTTGTGATAACAAACAGTTGTACTTTGATATACAAACTGTTTCTGCCATATTGGTCGTAAAGATGGTTGATAGTGAATTTTGGTAAATGTCCAAATATGGATGATGATTGACGTTGTTCTATTCGTTTTAAGAAAATTATAAGACCAAATAGAGATTGCTTGTGATAGACAATGAGTCGTCGTATGTATTATCAGCCCGTTTAACGTAGAGGTTTCTTAAATTCTGTTTTTGTCATCTAAATACTATATTTGAAATCTTTTTGTTACACATTGTTGAAGTTTCTGAAATTTTGTAAACAGTCGGGGGGGGAAAAATCTATCAAACATCACTTCATTGGAGCTTTACAGCAACTCTTTTGTTTTCTTCTTTCTCATCATCACTTCTTTCTCCAGCTATTCGAATAAACGAACAAAATATGAAAAAAAAACGTTGTGATTGCACTAGAATGCAAAATTAAAATACTAGGAAGTGGAGTTTTCAACCGATTCAAAGCGACCGTTCTGCAAGAAATGACGACCGCAGCTCGTTCACGTGGAATGCAGACCACATCCACGTGGTTTCCGCGCGCAATGCGTTTTTTCGAATATATGTAAATTACTATTCGTTTATTGTTGGGATATTTATTGATTTCTCTATTCGCTGCTGGCTCGACACAAAGCTCTTGCTCGGACATTGGTTGAATGTTTCAACCGAGTAGCTACAACGAGTATTGTCCATCGAACGTTTGCTAGTGTTTTGGTCTATCAGATAAATGCATGATTGCATTTATCTTTCAGACTCATCAGCTTGCATCTTTCATAAAATGGTACGACTCAATTTTTCACTTTTGATTACATCGCTTCTCTATCTCTTTCTGCTATTCTCAGTGTAAGGTTGAGATTTCGCTAAATGTTTCAAATCGTTTTTTTCTGTTAAGTATGAAGCATACTCGATTCGTTGAACGTTATGTTCTTCTGCTATGAACATATATATTGGGATGATGTGCTGTTTGCTAATTTAGCCCAGACAAGTTTCATGTTCGTCGGTTCTTTAACGATTTTCCTGTAAAGGGACAGTTGATCAAATAGATTTTGTCAACTTTCAATTTCCTTTGCATGACGCTAGTATGGTTCATAGTTCTCCCAATAGCATCCCTGGGATCGATTGATCACTGTTTTGCAAACAGTATTGTATTCTTGTTTGTATTCTGATTCTTTGTGAATTTTGTTTCGAACAGAGCCAAAACAGTTCTGTGGAGCTTATCTAGTTTTCATCTTTTCGCAACATAGTTTTCACGTGATTCTATTGAACCTTTCCATATGTCTTATCACGAATCCATGAGATGTTCATTGACCCCTCTTTTCATAATTATTTCGTTCCAGTTCAATGAAATCTTTTTGGACTATAGTTCATCGAGCTTATGCAACGGCTTCTACACGTACAGCTTCGAATCGGATACTTTCCAGTCCGGTTCATGGGCGTACTACACCTCCCATAGTTTCTGCTAATGATGCCGTTTCTTCCATACAATCAAGTAAGTTTGTTTTTTTTTTTGCAAATGTAATAATCAATGAGACTTAGACCTTGATTCTCAAGATTAACCTAACCCTTTCAGATAGTGACATTTACATTCATTCTCATGCTTCTACTCCAACTGAACTATTGGAAGCTTTGTGTCAGCATGTTGAGAGTAAAAACTTGACAGATATTCGACCTAGCCATATCATTCTGCAAGGAAATATTCCATGGCTTCAAGAGAAGTTTTATGGTATGTTCGATCATGCTTGTCTTCATTCAAATATACCTTTCAGGTAAAATACGATCCAACTGTCTCTTCATCGATGGCATGTTGAGGAAGCTTGTGAACGCAGGTATCGAATTCTCTAGTGCTGTATATTTCATTTGATTCATTTACGGTCATGCCGATTATATTCCTGTATTTTTGTCTGACATACCGCGTTTGTTCGAATCTGGCAGATTGCCAGTTGATGTTGCTCTCATAAGTGTTAGCCCTCCTGGTGAGTATTTGTTTTTATGCTTTCCCGATCATTGTATCTCCAGATGAACGCGGGTTTTGCACTATGGGAGTCGATGTCGACTGTTCTCTTGCAGCTGCTACTTCAGCCAAAAAGATTATCGGTTTCAATACTATCGCTTCTGTTTTGAACCCAACGCTGTTTAAGCAATCATCAATCCTAGTATGCCTGCAACGTTCGGAGCTGGTCTTATTCACTCATCCCATATTGACTACTTTGTGGAAACTGATAGACCTATATACGCGAAAGGCAAAGAAGAAGTTTCTAGCGAGGTAAATTCTTCATATCAGAGATATAGAGAACAGAAACTCTCTTAAGAACGAGCGAAAGATTGGAGAAATTATTGCTGAAAACTTGGTGGAGAACGGAGCAACACTCCAGCTGGGTTAGAAACATCCTATGTAGATTGTCTATCTTTCCCATCTGTAGGTATTGGAGCTATTCCTGATTCAACCTTAGCAGCCATGAAGAACCACAAAAATCTCGGAGTACACACAGAATTAGTCAGTGATGGTGTGCTTGATCTAATAGAACTAGGTGTTATTAACAATTCCAAGAAATCCATAATGCCAGGAAAGGTTAGTTGTATGAGGTTTTTCCTTTCATTCAGTCTCTGAACAGATTGTCACGAGCTTCGCTTATGGAACAGAAAAGTTTTACAAAGTTTTAGATAGAAATCCTATATTTCGTAAGTTACATGAAATGTTTTCTTTATTGCATCCATTCCCAGATTTTGAATCCTGTGCTTGGACTAATCATGTAGACATAATTAGACAGAACTCCAGAATGACTTGTATCAACTCATGCTTAGAAATAGACCTGACCGGACAGATTGTTTCTGATTCTATAGGGAGCAAATTCTATTCAGGTTTTTCGTTGAAACTGGCATTTGTTTTTATCGTTCATGTTAGGGTTCGGAGGACAAGTTGATTTCATTTTTGGTTCCTCAGTGGCTGTCGATAAGAGAGGGAAAGCTATCATTGCTTTGACTTCGAGAACCAATAAAGGAAAATCAAAGATTGTGCCTACTCTAGCTCAGGTTTGATATAGAGATGAAGAAGGAACAAAAGAATCTATTGTAGGGAGCTGGTGTTGTCACAACCAGAGGACATGTCAATTATGTCGTCACCGAGTATGGTGTCGCTAATCTTTGGGGAAAGAACGTTCGGGAGAGAGCGAGAGAACTAATAAACATAGCTCATCCAGACGATAGGGAAAATCTCGAAAAAGAAGCTTACGAGAGGTTTAAATGTATTGTATAAAACATATATTTATGAACTTATCGAATTATAATAAACGAAACAACAAGTATTTTCTCTGTAGTATTATTTATAAAATATTAGAAATAGAAGGACCACCTTATTAGAGTTCGAGTCAAGCAAAATCATAAAAACCTCAAATAATAACTGTGTGACACCACTTTTTAAGTTAAAATTTATTACAAAATTTAGCCGTGAATGAAGATCCTTTCCAGTAAATACAACTCGTTCGTAAAACTCAACAATGCGTCTCAGATTGAACAGCCAAAAACTGCCAGCAATCTGTGATTGGAACACATAACATTTCTTAGCTGTATAACTGAAGAAGTTCACGGATATATTTGAGCACTTCTTTGGAATTGGACGCGTCGGCACTGCAAGCAAATCGATAGTTCACATAATTCCTCTATTCGAACTCACTTATCAGTTATGTTTTTCACGAATTCCCTAAGCTGATCATCTGTTGCTGCTAATCCTCCTCTCGGTAACTGAGCCGTTGCCGACTCCAGCCACCTCCTTTGTGCCTAAAACAAGGTCAAGCTATGTCCAAACTCAGGGGAACCTACAACTGGATCATATTTTCCAATCCAGAAAATAATCTCAGCCATTGTCCTACGAAGATTTCTAGAAACATAAAACAACGCAGAGTTCAATGCTTCAGTTAGAATTTGACATCCTTTCTCATTGAAAATCCGCTGAGCAGCTTCAACTCCTGGATCGTTATAGTTCTTCTAGAAAGAAAAAATAGAAAAATGTTCTTCGTCAACAACTGACAATCTTAGCACTATTCAGTTGTCTCAATATGTTACAGATGAACTTCGAAACAGTGACTGTAGCTTCGTCATGATCAACTTTGAGTGCTACTATAGCACAATCGACTATGGAACTCACTACAGGACTGATGAATAAGTTAGTTGGGCAACGCTCGATATACCTGGAAAAACTTTATATGATGAAAATCAGTGCAGCTTACCTGTCTGCAAGACGGAAGAAGTCATCTATGAACGCTGGATTATGCTTCATCGCGTTGACAGCATCATTCTCCTTCATGAAGAAATTAAATGTACTTTGTGAAAGAACCTAAATATTGGTTTGTAAACGTACATCATCGAATCACGCACCTCTAGCATATGAATAAGAGCTGGACGAGACTCATCTATTTTACCATATTCATCTACTAGAATAGATGCCAGGTACAGCAAGCAAGAATGTTGGCAGGAAGCATAAATTTCAAGAATCTGGGAAAAATTAATCATCATCTCATTCAGTACTCTCACCTGATCTAACATTCGCCCGACAAACACCTGAGATTGCAACCCAAGAGATCTAATGATGTATCTGAGACAATAAGATCTAGTGCGAAAGCTGAGAATATATTGTTACCTGAGAGCTCTACAACAATACTCTGCTACACGACCCCTATCTTTATAATGATTCAAAGTTGAGGAAACAACTTCAAATAATTCTTGCGAGGTTTGTAGCCATGGCGCAGGAACGTTGATACCAGTGTTGTTTATTTTCTTAGAAAACCGATATGATGTCATGATCAATGATTAAGATAATACCTGCCATGGTGGAACATCTTTAAAAATTATGGCGATTCTATTAAGCCAGAGAACAGGATCCACAGATAACCGCTTCCACGAATCATTGTGCATGTCATTTTCATTATTCGTTGAAACATGAGTGTTGTTGATAATCTGGAAAGAAAGTGGTTATCAAAAGTGTCATGAAAGCTAAACTACTCCTAGAAGCCTCTCCATAATAGGTCTACACATCTCTGAAACTCGTATGGTAATCTCCTCAGGCCGTATATGTGGAATAATCGCGCAGATGGCTACAATTATCAAAAAAATATTTGATTTGAACTCTGGAACTACTTTTCAACAATTCGCAAACGGCTTTCTCAATTTTCCTGCCATGTGTTTGCTGACTTTCTAGAGCTGGGATAATTGATGCAATGCTTTGCATATGAGGAACCATGTATTCTGAGCATTTGCTCGAAATCTGAATAATCACAAACGTTAGAAAAAAAGAATGAAAATTCAAGAAAACCTCGCATATTGCTTCAGCACAGAGAGGGGCGAAGAGGGGATTGCTAATAAGGGAACCGAGCCAATGAACAACCGAATCTGTAATAAGATGAAAGTGAAAAACATTGAAGAAGGAATAAGATACAACCGCTCACGGGCGAGTTTCAAAATGAAATGAGAACATCGAAGCAATATTAATAAATCGATACCTATTAAGTTGGAATGTTTAGCTAACCATTCATTTGAGCCGCCTACAAGTTTCACAGAAGTTGCAAACAAAGCCGGGTGAGAATTAGGAGGTAATCCTGTTATAGAGCAGATCAGTTGAGGAAGAACAGAGTCTTCATCGCTGAAACGGTATTACCAAGCTTGATATTATGTTGAAAGAAAACTTACGGGACAAGATTATGAATAATACAGGAAATCATGAAAAGAGCAGATTCCATTTCATCCCATGTTCCATTTTTAGTAACGCAAGTTGTCAACCTATCGCACATCTGGAAAGCTTTGCTTTGAACAGACGAATGTACCACACGAATTTGTACCTCTCGAACAGCACAGTCGGTCCCGACCATGTACACGACATCTTTCAAAGTCTCGGAAACCTGTGAGAAATGAAGTAAGAATTACTTAAATGGAACTACTTTGGCTCTGAATTCCATGAAATCCGACCCCTCCTCTGGTACAGTTTCTTCGTCAGTATCAAACCTAGAATGGCGATACAAATGATTAATGTACCTAAAAAACAAAAGTGTGATAGGAAGTGAAAAACTTCGTAACCGATTGATGAAAGGTCGATACTTATTCAAATGATCATCGTCTTCTATCATGAACAGAGCTTCTGATATTCTATACCAAACATTGAAAGTTCTCTCAATAATCTGAAAATAACTCGAAAACAGTCATACAAGCGAAAGCTTGTTTACGGAATAGTCGTGATGCTCTGCTAGTAACAGTAACAGCTCTAGGGAATACAAACTACCGAAATCCTCCATACTATTCGAGGGTTCATTTACAATTCTCTCAAGCATAGTTTCCACTAACTCACAAAAAATTCTTGCATAATTTTGAAGTCTGAAAAGGCATGTTTAGCGAAACATATCAAATAGGTTCTTCATACTTTCCTAATTCCTCCAATTCAACAGCTACTTTGAAAGGTTGAGCTAAGGCATATACATTCTTTTGCAAACTATGAGCTAACGTTATATGAGCTTGGAAATCTTCGGCAAGGATAATGGCTTGAACAACACACTCCGTTACAGCATCATGGAGAACACCGTTAACCGTAGGAGTAGCCTGAGAAATTAAGCGAAGGATAAAACACTAAATATATTCTTGAAGCTCACTAAGATATGGAAAGCAGTTTGAAGTAAAGGACTTTGGGCTAAATTATCTGTTTGCATAGAAGGATTTCCCAAATAAGCACCCAGACAACTATATATTCGTTTATAATAGTCCTCGTTAGGGCTCTGAGTCAAAAGTTCAGTCTGGAATAACATGAATGAATATTCTAGGTTATCATGAAAGCTACCAAGTATGTAATAACATGAGGTGCGCAAGCTGCTAGTTCATCCTGAATAATCTTCCGTCGGTTTTCACCGATTCGAATTTCATGAGCTTCTTCAGGAAAAACTTTCAACAGAGTCAGCATCATCTTGGTTTGATCACCTTGGAAGTTAGTGCACCTACACGACTTGTTGAGCAAACGAAGTGACATAGTAGAGTACCTTTGAAGAAACTCAAGAATCCAGTTAGTCCAAGTAGGAACTTGAATATATAAGTCAGCAATAGCCAAGCAGAGTTGCATAACAATCGACTCTGCTTCAACATTACCCGTTGCAGAGTGGAAAAACCTTGAGAATAGAGATTAAAAACTTTTTTTATTTGCAAACAATACCCAATATGACTGATTAAAGACTCTCTAAGAGACGCATAGCTCTCTTCTGGAATTTCAGAGAGAGATTTAAGAATTTTCTGTCGTATAGTTTGTGCTGCTACCCAGCAGAATAAAGTACTTTTCCTCTCATGTAAAATCCCATCACAAACTGTCCAAGCGTGAATCTAAAAGAAGAACGGTATACTCTTAGAGATGTTGATCGTCTTACAGAGCTTGAGAACTGAGTCAACCATCGTTGACTCTCACTTCTTCTTGCCGGATCAGTAGCATTGTAAAATAAATCAATGTAGGTATAAGCTTCGGCTATGTCAGACATCACTATACCACATGTACCCGTTAAACCTATATAAACAGTTTAAATCCGTTTCGTAGCACCAAATTGATAAAATATTAAATTGTGATTTGCAACAGCGGGAATGAATGAAAACATGGAGAAGTCAACAAAATATTTATGAACCTTTAAACATTCAAAAAGATAAAAGATCTACTCTGCTCTCAAACAATGCACGCTCTAAACCCAAATGGGCTGTATAGCCTCCAGCAAGTCTGTGCTGAAATAATATGGATATGTGAAAATCATAGTAAAAACAATAACCTTGCTAGGAGCTTTAATGTGGGAAAGATAGCCTTTGGGCTCTAACGCCTCACGAGGTATAAGCGGTGGGCCATTATAAATTAAGCGCAAGGCGCGATACTCGTAAGTGCGTCCTGCAGCCCTCTGAGCTTGATGTCCGAAAGATAATTCAGCTGGTCTACGATGACTTTGAGCTTCTAAATACGTTCATAAGCCAAGCAATAAGTAGCAATGAACCTTTAAGTCTTCGTTTTTTATCTGCAGCTTTTTCTTTCTGTTCCATATCGATTTCGATTTGACGTTTCCTTTCTCGGTCCAAGATGACCTGGAATAAATGTCGGCATCAACTGCGAGAAACACTTTGAACAACCTCTGCAGGCACATCAGAATCTTTAATTTCATCAATAATGGCTTTAGTATCTCTGACCGCAGTGAGCTCATCTTCTTTCTGGAAAGAAGTCAGTCATAGAAGAGTTGAATTTCCAAACGAACGTTCTCTTGCTGATGAACAGTATTCATTCTATTCTTCATCTCCTTCTCTTCTTTCAGATTATCCAGAACCCAAGTAGTGTCAGCATCATACCTTCAAGGGAAAATGTAAGATCCCCATTAAGCTAAGAGAAACACCTTCTACGGTTTCTTTCGATGAGCTCAGCATTACCATCACGGAAAGCATTTATCTCTGCTTCTGTCTGATCGACATCAATCTCTTCGGTTAAATTGAAAACTATGTGCTCCAATCTTCATAAGGAAATATTGAAAAAAGAAAAATAGTTGGAGAACGAACCGCTCAAGGTAATCATTGAAGTCTCTCAGGGATGGAAAGTCTTCGAACTTCAGATTATAAATCTTAACACCACATGCTAAGGAATTCAAAATGCAGACTACCTTTTTCAGACGCTTGCGAACATGGTTTTCTTTCTCGATCGACGGATCGTCGAATACCTGTTCCCAAAAAGTATTTTTTCGCAGGGTTCTCCCACATTTGTGACATGGAGCAGCATTACGAGCAAACAAATTATCTACACAGTTTCTGAACGATAGGGTCAATGAAAAGGTCATGTAATAATACGAACTTGCACAAAGGATGACCACACTCGTTGATCATCATAACTAAATTTTTGTTGGTGTATTCACTAGATTTACATTTTGAACACTCCCTCATTTTGAGAGATTTAATTTATTAATGTTGAGGAGAAACTTTTGATTCAACAATAGTTTGCTGATGAGGGTAAAGATGTCCGATAATAGCCTGTCTCCGGATGGTGCTGAGACTCTGCTTTCCCTTCTTAACATCAATTCCTTTTAACAGTACATATCTTGAACCAACCTCGAACAAAGTGTTCAAAACTCCGGTATCAACAACTCCTCGATTCTTCTCGAAATGATCACGTATTCTACGATGAGCGAATACTCGGTAGTTGTATTGGGGAAGCTGAAATCACAAAACGCCTCATAAATTTCGAAATATACCGCGTGCGCTATACTTTTTTAGCTTCGGATTGCAGTTCTTTGTACAACTTTAACCACGCCGAGCGGGTGATAGTCGATGACATTCAGTTAGATACCAACTACCGGAAAGGAAAAGCAATGTTATGGCTTATATAACTTCGAATTTTCAAAAGAATCAGAAAATGTTCAAATTTGAAATTGAAATGCGGGTTAAACTTGAGGAGATTTTTTAAAGGTCTGATGGTGGCAGACCTTTAAAAACCGGTCGTTATTAGTTGAGTCTGGTAGCAGATCACTTATACAATGTGCGGTTTTATATTTTATGGAGGCAGAGTGTTTATGGAAATAATTTTTTGTATATAAGTTATTTTGTATGTTGCGAAATTGTTGACAGAGTAGCGCCCTAAGTTCCAATCTTTATACATCTCGCATTCAACTATCCGATTTCTCTGAAGGTTAATCTATAGGATGGATTCTCTTTGACAACATTTTCATTAGCAGTTCCTTCAATTTGCGCAACGTTTCCTGGTTCAACCGGAAGTACTTAATATGGATGTCCGAGCAATGTTTGTCGAATACCCTATCTTAGTTTTATAAAGTCTCATGAGTGTTCTCGCAATTTCTTAAAAAGTTGATAAATCTGTTTTCATCGTACTGGCTATGTGAATGCAACCGCTCTGTATTGAACATCTTCCATGAATGAAACAGTAGGCTGTCTCATGTTCCAAGGCGTGAAGATGATTTCTCATTTCATCGAGTTATTCTTTCATTGAGGGGGATGGTTTTGTAATTACGTTTGAATTAATCACTTCGTCAGATCAGTGTTATTCGGAAACCAGGCGGAAGATGTTTCATTGCCTCTATCTATCAATCAAAATTATTTCTTGATTATATCAATTTAACTTCAAAGATTCAACGACAATACTTCAGAATGTTTGAATACAGTTCATCCATCTGATACTCAAACAGATCTTTCTCAAAACTCTTTTTCTCCACCGAAACATTTGGCAAGTCATCGTCTTTGCCGGCGCCGTTTGATGCTCAACTATGGTAATGCACGTATATAACAACCGTGTATCTATCGAATTGACCACTTACCTCTTTGGATCTTACCTCTGATTAGGGTCACACCAAATAAAGAACCGCCATGTTTGCTAATAGCAGATCGGATGCCTTTCCGTTGGTAGTCAGCCAATCGCATGAAGTCACACTCACTTTCCCAATTATGTTCCATAAGTGCAGAAATAGTTCTTTTCTTATTTTCAAATACTGATTGTGTTTATCTCGAACGCACGTCCTTTACGATATTCTCACGAACATGCTCTGTGCGGATATCCGGTAGAACTCTGCCCTTGGTATGAAATTTCAATATCGATAAATTGGTCCTATCCTCACTACGAATAATTCAAATTTTTTTTCGGTTTTCATAATCTTTCATCGGTAGTTGTGTTAGTCTAGCTGGTCGGTTCTCTGTCATCTCCATAGGTTTCTTCAAAAAGACGGCCGCTGTGTGCTAATTGAAGCCCACAGATGGCAGGTAGTCCGATAGATCCACAGCCTTCTCATAAGTTCCGCCTTCTTTTTGAATCTTTTTGCTGTTTCGGAATCGACACGATCTGTCTCTGTTCTGTACAGGCTCCATGTGAACGGAGTAGAATTTGAGTGAGCCTTTTGTTCGCTTTCGTTTCGAGAAGAAACTTCTGTTATCGTGATTCTAGCGTTATGTTATATCCGTTTCTTCCTTATGCAACTCTTGTCTATTGTCTTTTTTGTGTTGTCTCAATTTTCTCTCTCTCACTTTTCTTGTCTATAATCTGATTTATATAAGAGTTCTTTGACGAGACCGCCTTCTGTTGTTCATCACTCTCATTAAGTTTTTGTGTCCTTCTGTTACCATATATGGTTAAACAGTTTGACTGTTTTCCCATGAATTACATGGTTGAACAACAATGACCGAAAGCTCATCGTATAATTCTTTTTTTCAAAACCTTTTTATACTTTTGCCTTGGTTTTTTCTGCGATAGAGGGTCTGCTAATTGATGTTTCTCAAAATCCCAGACATTAAGTTCTCTTTTTCAATTGTGTAAGATTTGCCTGTAGTTTAAGATGCTTCCTATTCAGGTCCTTAGTACTTATACCGAGTTTTGCCTTTGGCCAATTCCTTTGTCTTTAAATTCTCCCGCGTGCTATTGGCATCTTTCACGCCCATCCCACGAAGTAAACATCATAGTTCCTGATCCACATTCATAAGATGTAAGAGTTGTCTAATGCCTTTTTGTTTTTCATTTCGCTCTTGTCCGTCACTATCAGCAAGACATCGCCTTATGTTTAAGAAGAAAGCCTCATCCTACTTTTCAAAGCCGGTATGTTGTCAAAGGCTTTCATTTCTTGTTGTATCTACCACTCTTCTAAGGACCGCGTGGGGATGTCGGTCATATCAAAGCGTCAACGGTACCTCCTCGATTGACATTTGAATAGGCTGAGACTAGGCGCGTTTAGGGTCGCGGCTTGGGTTCATCCTCTCTCTTTCTTCTTTCTGTCTTGCTCGCACCATATCCACCCTATTCAAGGCAGAGTATATCCGAGTTCTTTGCATTGTTGTTTCATTTTCCTTTACCTGTCCTACTACTGGAAGTATTGTTTCCTTTTTGAGTATTTTATGTGTATGTGTGAGATGCTTTGTCGATGTCAATCTCTTCTCCGATCAGATTTGAGATTAACGCGTTGAACATCTCACATTACTCAAAATTCTTTTGCTTTTCCGTGTTACAGTTCTTATCCTCATCTCCTGCTGCGCAGAGCAGCTGACTATTAATAATTATAATGCTATATAAGGTTCTTTTTTCTTTTTGTTTGCTTGCTTATTTGTGTAAACAAGACTCATATCAGTCTCTTTGAAGAAATGCATTTGTAATCCATTTTACTAGCGTTAAATTCAAATTCAGCGTCCTTTGGTTGTCTGCGTCAGATGACCCACTTCTCAAAGGAGCAGATGATGCTTTTCAAATTTCTGAAGCATTTCGTTTATACTTGTCTTGTCTACTGGTTTTACGCTTTAACTAATCAATCGTTTTATAGAGACAGACGAAATGAATAAGTTCAAGAACTTCTTTCGACCAAAAACTAACAGAAAAGATGACGAACTCGTGAGTTCAGTTTTATTGGAAAAGTGATCATTTTCGCACTTTCAGGGACGATTCATCTCCATTCACAATAGTAAAGATAATGAGGAGAATAGAGCTCCTGCTGTGAGTTTTGTAAGTTTTCAGCTTTCTTTTTCTATTCCTCTTCCCATAGATTCGAATGTTAATCCATTCATTACAGAAGCCCAAGTCCAAAGATCCTAGAGATGTAGGTGCTACAGATTGCTACTATACTAATGTAGCACCTAAGACTAGAAGAAATCTCAAGTCATGTCCTGGAGGGTAATGAACTATATGTTGGACTGATTCTTAGCATCATGTATTACAGCTACAAAGATGATTATTCCGCTGCAGTTGAGAATCGTTCTTTCGACGCTGAAGTTCGCAGAAGAGACTTCAGTCCTGATTTCGGACGTCGTTCTACAAGAAACATCCGAGAAAAGAGACCGACAAGAGCCTATTCTGAGTATGGTGGCGATGACGCCAACACCACTGACGTAACTCATATCCCCTATCGATCTTATCACAGAGAAGAGTTCGCAGAAACTGACGAGGAGTGTGATGAAACGGTATGTCCGCATCTATACTAGAAAAGTTTCATTTTCTTTTTTCAGAGTCTGAAAAGAGCAAATCATGTCTTGGAACGAAGAATACGTCACCTACAAGGTCGATATGTATACTACAAGAGCGAGTATAAAGCCCTACAGAAGGCTAAAAACGAAGCTGAACAAGCTTTCCTCATGAGAATTTCTGACTGCAAACGTGAAATTGAAGAGCTGAAAAAACAGAATCAAATGCTCACGCGAAGTGTGAAAAACTTGGTGAGAAATGGAGTAGAGGAACATTCATTGTAATCAAATATTTTTCAGAATAACCAAGCTCATGCCTCTGGACCATTCAGTAGTGGCAACTACATGCCAATGCCTAACTTCCAATTCACGCGATCCAACTTCCAGTCGAATGATATATATCAATTTACATCAATTAATGATAATGGCAGTAGCATTGTTTGTAAGTTTTTCTAACTTTCATATTCTCATACCATTTTTGGACAACATGTTCTTTGTTGAGCCAGCCCACTATCCCGTTACTTCCTTCTATATTCATCTTTATTTACGTTTTCAGCAGACCCTCAGCCCACGATTGGCGACATTTCTTGTATGCAGAACACAATGTTCAGTAACGACGAGAAAGATGAGGTAGTTCAGTTTTTTCTCTTCTCCGTTCCTCATTATATTCTTTGCAGATTAAAAACTTCAGGGCCAGTGAGACATTATCTCCTTCAGCTGACCATTCATCTGCCTCTCTCAGTAATCAAGCTCTCAGAGAACTTCAACAGAACTCATAGCTACATCAGCTTTTTCCATAGATCACGAAGAAATTAACATATTTTATTTGGGGAAAGTTTAATAAGGAAAAATGTGAATAGGAATAAGATGATACGTCGCTTGAAAGCAAAGTTTTAACTCGAAATCGCTCAAGTCCAAGAACAACTTGAACTATTTGTTTCTCCTCTCTTTATGTAACATCATTTGTTATAATTAAATAATATTTATGGACTAATCCATACTAACTTTAAATGATCTCAGTCTTTCATTTCTGAAAATTGTATTTTCTAATAATTATCCAATTCATTTTGTCTTATTATGACCTGACATTTGTATCCTTTTCTCTCTCTCTCTCTCTAGAATTGGTTACTAGTTATGACCATAGTTATCGTTTACATTTTTTTATTTGATTATACGACGGGTATAACCTAGAAGAATTTTGAAGTTGAAATTCTTGTATAATTAGTTGGTCTCTTCCATAAATTCACATTAATAAATATGTTTGAAACCATTTTATGTGTTATCTATCAATGCTTCTCGAGTTTTCTGGACCTAAGTGAGCAGGCGAAGGAGCAGTACCAAAGAGTGATGGTCTTAGATCACTATTTCGTTGAAAATAAAATGTTCCTTCCTATTTTCAACAATAAACTTCAGGATTGGCCCAAGTAGTATAGTGGTTAGTACTCCACGTTGTGGCCGTGGCGACACAGGTTCGATTCCTGTCTTGGGCATCTCTTTTTGACTTTTTCTC